TTTTCGTGTTTGTGTGCTATGATTACATTGCCTTATTATTTTTGACTTAAAAGCTGCGAATAATTCTAATTATTATTATTTTGGTATGGAAACTATTCATGTTCACGGATTTTTAAATATTTACCCATCAGATTTTGAAATCATAGTGGCAAAGCTGATGGCTTATGCATTTCCATTCGCATACTGCACTTTCATTGCTTTATACTCAATTACTTTGAATTAAAAGTTTTTAATAATTCCAATTGTTATTATTCATGTATCGTTAACTTTCTGCTTACGGCTGGTACAACATGTGTACCAGACGTGATGGTACAACATAGAACACCGTAAGAAAAGGGGTAAATATAATATCTAACTCATGATCCTTGTAATGATTTTGTTTTAAAATATACTTAAGAGCTTTTGTTATGAACACCGCACGAAATAAATTTATGGAAAATTAAAAGATATACATTATCATATTCTTGAAATATTTGACTTACATTGTATTTATTTTATTTACATTTTCTTACTAGTTTCATGCGATTAATTTTAAAATACATAAGTGCACACTTAAAACGCGTACCATTATGCATTTTTATTTATTAACTGTCTCATGCGCAATAAATACAAATATATATATATATATATATATATAATCAAAAGATTTAGAAGCTCTTGACGATTTTAATTATTATTCGTGTCTCGTAAATTGATTTATGTACAGAGTAAAAATGTAAAAAATAAAAATATACTAACAAGTTTTATTGGTAATGCCACAAGTCAAACTTATTGAGAATAAAAACATATCTATTATCATCCGTCAAAGCTTTGTTTTACAAATTGCTTAACATATCATTGAGTGGCAGATTACTTAACTATCATTGTTGATTTTCTTCTCAACAAGACCTCATATGTTGCTGATTCGCAAGACTTGATTTCGACCCATTGTAAATCTTTTCGTAACATCTGTAATAAAATTTCACCGATATCTGTTTCATTGGAATCCGGATACATTTCGAATATTGCCCCAGCTGCGATACATCGAACAGAACAACATGGCAGAAAAATAAATTAAACTTGTATTAGATTTATGATTAAACCTTACAACCGTTGGTGTCAGTCAAAGTTTGAATGCGATGAAGTATTTGTGAGAAGAAAAAAGGCTCTAACGTACATTGTAGATTAAGGTATTGTTTTTAATGTGATTAAATATGCAGGAAATTTTTAATCATAATTTACAGAAGAAAAAAAAATTCTGTGTTAATATGCTAGTACAACTTTAAAATTAACGTTGTAAAAAATTTTCAGTCCTTGTAGTTGTTTTGATAAGTTCCTTTATTTTAATTGAAAAAAAAGTTAAAAAACTAAAAAAAAAACTTATATTTTTTTAAAAGAAAAATGAAATTTTTTGTTGCATTGTTTTCTGGTTTCTAATTGGCAACTTATGCTTTGAAATACTATGTATCGCCCCAGTACTTTGCTATGTACTATCGCTATGTACTTTGAATAATTATGCTTTTTTGAGAAATAATATTGTAATTTTTGACAAATATGTTACAACACCTCTAAGAAGTTCCCCTGAACCATGTAATCAAATGAGTTATTATGTTATTATTTTCGTTCTTTTCTTTTAAACTTTATTAATGCTAACGCATATCAAGAGTTTGGTTGATATTGTAGCATTTTTTTAGTCTTAAAAATCGAAATAGTAAATACAATTATTAACTTAAAAATTTTTAAAGAAAGTTCGTAATACTATTCACTTATTATATTTATTATAGTAGATGGAATTAGTAAAAGCATAGAATTAAAAGAATCGAAGAGAAATTATTATTATAACTGTATTTATTAATTTTATTAAGTTAACAAAATTAGTAAATACCAAAATTAGTAATTTATGAGTATTCTAAAATATATTCTTATAATCATATTTAATAATTTTATTTACTGTTCTAAAGTAAGTAGAATTGAAAAATACAGTGATAAAAACTCTAAAAATGTGTTCTTATATTTACTAATACTATTAGTTCAGGAAATATAATTAACAAATACAATTGTAAGAATACGTTCCTTAGAATCTTTTTTTTGTTGCTGCTATGAGTTATTCATTATTATTTTCGTTCTTTTGTTTTTAACTTTATTTACCCCAGTGTACATCAAACGTCAGGTTGATGATAATGTAGCCTTCTTTAGTATCAAATCCAGCACCGAAACGGCTTATCCCTACGCCTAGAAGAAAAATGTAAAATCTGTTTAACTATTTATTTGTATTCAGCAGATACTTTTAGAAATAGAAATAGTTGATGCAATTATCAACTTAATTCCAAAGAAAGTCCGTAATTCTATTTACTATTTGTATTTACTTTACTAGATAGAGTAAATAGAATTTGCAAATACATACAATTATAAGAATTCAAAAGAAAACATTCCAATAACTGTATTGACTCATTTCATTTGCTTTTATTAAGTTAACAGAATTAGTTAATACATTTTTGAGTATTCTGAAATATATTCTTATAATTGTATTTAATAATTTTACTTACAGTACTAAAATAAATAAAATCAGAAAATACAATGATAAGAACTTTAAAAATGTGTGTTCTTATATTTACTAATTCTATTACTCAAATGAATAGATTTAACAAATAGAATTATAAGAATACTTTCTTTAGAATCATTTTTTTTACTTCAATATAAGTATAAAACTGCTTCAAATTATTACCATCACAGAAAGGAATAAACGAAATTTCCTTGAATTTTTTAATTTAATAATTTTCTACAAAACACCATTTGAAGTAGAAAAAAAGGGTATTAAATTCATTCCCGGTCTTTGTTTATAGTTGAATCAAAATAAAATAACAAATAGGACCGGAAACTTGATCCTGTTCTTTCAATGTTACTTTGAATAAGCTAGGCATTGTCTCTTAAATACTCATAAGAAAAAATATAACAGCTCCAAATCATCTTCTCTATGTCCACAAGCTACAAATAATGCTGACCTTCACTGTTGATGGCACAGCGTTATGTGAGTATTGGCGACATTTAAATGGCGGGTATTGTCACCTCATTCGGTGAATTGAACGATTCATGACGTTTAATTCATAATTTTATTCTCTTGGCTTCAACTAAGGAATGTTCTCTGCGTAAAGGAGTCGTAAACAAACTCGACGAAGCATTCACTAATTGTTGGCCTTTAATTTTATTTATTATTTTTTTCTTAATTTTTTGTTGTCTTGACACAAAAGAGAGAGTAGTAGAGAGAGAGATTAATAGAGGTGAATTATTTCGCCCATCGATAACATTAGTACGTGTAGAGAAAAAAATTTTTTGTAATAAATATGTGTTTTTCATGGTAAAAAATGTGAACAGCATCATAGATTATTTGAATTATTCATTTTATTCCATCTAAAATAGATATTTATCTCAAGTTCCACTTGATTACTCTGTAAAAAATTCCGGATCAAATTACGGTATAAAGTACCGGCACTTTGGGAGCATCATCCACAAAATCCATTTTTACCGTAAAATAGTGTACCGTAATTTTGACAGTAATACTTATTTAATAGAGGGATTCAGTGAATTTACGGTAATTACCGTAAAAATTAAGGTATATCAGATTTGTTGTTTCCTAACATATTTCGGTATAAATGGATTTTACGGTAAAAAGCACCAGTACCTTGAGTGTCAGTACTTTTTATCGTATATTACCGCCACATTCATGGATAGTTTTGAACCAATGCGATTTTTTTATTCGATACAAAATATTTTTTCACAATCAATGGTTGAAATTTGTTTTTAACGAAAATATTTATTTCAATATTCCTTATTAATTTTTGACATTCCAGAGTAAAATAAAAGAAATTTTTATTCGTCTTTGAAAAACTTTGGATTTTTTTTGTAGAATTTTCTTGGGTTTCACAATAATCACAATAATTTTAGTTCATATTATTTTGATATAATTGAGTTAGAAACTCGTATTGTTTTTATAAACTTAAAATAGCGACATGATCATAGCAACTTTAATATTGGTATTGGTACTTTAGTGTAAATTAAACATTTTACTTGTAAACTTTTAGCAAAACTATTCCACTTAAATTTTTCTAGAAAATTAATAGATATTATAAAAATTTAAAACTTTTTATTAAGCTATTTTTCTTGAATTCGGTACTTTGTTTCAGTTTTTTCCCTCCAATTACATGAGCTTCATAAACTTTTTATTTTTAACGTTAATTATCTTTTTCTTTTTGTTCTAACTTCGAAATATCTTTTAAAGAACGTGTTCTTTGAAGTACAGCTTAACACGAATGTTATAATGCTTTTAATTAGTACATTAGTACATATATATATATATAAATAAGAAGAAAACTAAGTATTATTGCCAAAGTAATTATTATTATTTTTAAAAATTTGATTAGTAAAAATCTAAGTCTGACTTTAAGTTAATATTAATTTTTATAAAATATTTTCGCTTCTCAGTTCTTTACACTTCCATAAAACCTGCTCCTACAAAAGAATACAATAAAATTGCATGCCTACCTTTTGCTGCTTTGAAAAACATTCTATGAGAATTTAAACTTCTTTTTTTTTAATATCATTACCTAATCCACATTATCTATTACAAAATATAAACTTCTCTTTCAGAATCCATAATTACATTTACAATATATGCACCTTGCGCATTACTTCCTCATTGTGTACGCGCTTACACGTTTTCGTACATAATTATTTTAATAACTTTTTACCTCCCAACTAATATAACAATTCTATTAATTTGAGCCACACCTTTGAAATCCCCCGTCTAACGAACTTTGCTATTTGTTAATTTATTTATTTGCTACAAGATAGAAACAAGTTTAATTTTAGCCGAAGTAAATGTGACGTATTCGTACCGAAAACTAGATGCAAAGCTTCAGTGATTTAACTACGAAGCAATTTATAGAAACATGACACAGCGATCTAATATACTGATAACGCTCAAACAAATTACGTATGTTAATTGCTTTTTGTTTTTGTTTCAGCTTGCTTTCTGGAACTGTATGAACGAGAGTTTAGCGGGTAAGTTGAATTTGGTTTTTTCCAATTTTTTTAATGTTTATTTCTGCTTTCGTTAATTAGATTTATTCTTAGAACCTGATTGCTCATTATGAACCTGTTATGATTTTGTTAACTATAACAACGCCATAGATTACAGAAAACTTCCTATGGTAAAAATGGTTCTCTAACAAATTTTCTTTTATATTTTCTTAAATGAATACGTTAAGAGAAGCTATCACATTTTATGTAATTAACAAAATATTCCTGAATAACAATATCCGTTTGATGCAGAATTTTTATTAAGTATATTTTTCATACTTTTTTCATTATTTTGTATTAATTTAAGTCAAAATAAGTGTAAAATATTATATTCAGCATTTTAATAGTTTATGGTTATGAAATGGTTATCTCTTGACCTATGCTCTCTGTATGTATCTCCATGTGCCATGAATGTATCTCTTGACCTGTTAAGGCAGAAGCCTTAAAGGTCAAGAGATTCCAAACACGGCTTACTTCATAACAATAATTTTTAAAATTTGCAGTGATTTAGAATTAAAAGAAACAATTATCCATAATCGAAATTTCTTTAATTTACAAAATCAATTAGTGATAAATTTTTAAATATGAATGAAAAAAATTTCTTCAAGCAAATTATTTTGTATTTTAGTTCAAATATAATTCCGATAATCTAACATATTTTTTTACTAACTATTAACTTTTTTCTTATAATTAAAAAGTTCTAAAATATATTTTTGCTTGTAGTTAGAGCATCAGAAAAAAAAATTATGTAAAAAGGGACAACGGTGACCCATCTGCGTCAAAGGGCTACAACCCAAAAACATGTCTTATCAAATTTTAAAAAAAATTAATAAATAAATAATATTTTAAAGTGAGATAAAAAAAACATATTTTGAGAAGACAATGATCGAACCACAAATGCTGCTTTTTTAGAATCGTTTCCATTTGAAACTTATAATACCGGCTCACAAAGAATCTATCAAGGTTGCAGATTCTTGTAATAGGTCGTATGCATTTCAAAATATAAAAGATTACTTAAACTAATTATCGATATAAAATATTCGAACGGAACTTTTTGTATACTCATATAATTAGATTAGACTTAATCTGGGGTAAAACTTAAATTTTTAGTTGTTTTGAATTCAGAAGTTGCGTCGAAAGAAGTTGAAATTATAACTATATGAAATTAAAATTGTTTATAATTATAACATATTTAGCTTTTTTCGGGCTAAATATGTTATAATTTCAACAAAAAAAAATTTATTCTTTATTTTTTATAAATTCTATCTTTTCATTTGTTTTAATTAAAAGTGTCATGAAGTTCCTATGTAATGGGCAATAATTCATCTTAAAATAAGAGCAATTTAGGTAAAATATTTTATTTTTCCTCTTTTTTTATTTAATATTTTTATAATCAAAAAAGAGAATCTTTTCAAAGAATGTATATTTTTAAAAAATAGAATAGTTAAGCTGCTTAAAATGTATAAAATCGTTGTACAAAATGTACAAAATCGTTGATTTTGTCATCAATTTTTTATTCTGATAATGCAATTTTTTTCAACAATGACTAATTCTGCGAAATTAAAGGAAAATTCAGTGTTTTTTTTATGAATCAACCTAACATTAACTTTGGTCTGAAAAAATTTGCATTTGAATACATATTTAGCTGTGAAACCATACTGGTTCAATATTTTTAAAATGTCTGGGCAAGTTTATGACTTAAATATTAGAAGACAACAATTTTATTGGTGTCGGATTTGTATGTTGTGCATTTTATTTAGGAATGACAGTAGAATTTGATATAATTATAATATTTTGTAGAACTAAAAACGATGAAAGTTAAAATCTATATTTTCCGTGCCTGAGATGTGATTCTTCATTAGAAATTGATAAATTCCAAAGATACAATTAGTATATTTATTTGTGGGCAAATAAAAGAAAATAATTAAAAGGAAAATTAAATTTGAATGAATTAAAACCGAATTTTTTAACGTTGAAAAAAATCAAACTGAAATCTAAGTACTTTTTTGGTTGGAGGCAGTCTTATACATTTGAAGCAACACCATCTAATAAAACCCACAAAATTTATGAGCAATGTTAAATTATGCTTTCATGATAAAATATTTATGAACAATGTTAAGCTAAAAAGTTAATCAAATTTAACTTAAGTTACTGACAGACATCTTCGATAATCTTATTTCATAATAATTCAAAATATATTCAATAATAATAATAAAACGTTACAAACAGTTATTAGAAATTCCGCTTCTGCGTGACATTATATTTAGATAAAAAGAAAGATTTATAGTAATTGTTTTTAAATTTTTTCATTCCCGCATTTAGTTCTATTGATGCAGATAAAAATTCAAAGAATAAAATTGACAGCACAGAATGGGTTATGTTTGTGTTGGACCTATCTTTGAAACTCTATTTAGAATTTTTTTAAACTTCATATTTTTAGTCATAATTATGAATAGTTTCAACTCATTTACATGAATATTCAGAATCAAGAGTCCTTGTGAATTTGCTACTTTTGTGTTCACAAACCAAAGTACTACTTAAAATAATTTCTATTTTTGGGGAAAACAAAGACTGTAAAACTTCTAAACTTTTTTCCATTACTTAATTGCTAAAAAACGATTTTTTATTGCATTTTAATTAAAACATCTCTTTTGTGCCCCATTACATTGGGCAAATTAACAATCTTCTTTTTAAGACACATATTTTTCATTCATGCTTTGAAACCGTTTCCTAATGAGTTTTAGTATTTTTAATTATATTCAATAGTTCAGTTAAATTTCCGTAATAAAAAATTTAATAAATCTTTTCTTCGATTTCATTCAGGTCATCGGGTTCATAGATCTGGTCTGACTTCGTCAGGCCAGAAGAGGATAAGCAACAACAACAACTTAATAAAATTATGATCTCTAATTATTCAAAATAATAATAATTATTCAGAAGACAACTGACACTAATTCTGCTTTCTAATTATAAATATATCACAATTCATAGTTATAGATTTGCATTATGATCGATAACAATCTTATGAATGCTTTTACGTACAGTTTTATTATTATTTTTTTTTTAAATCTTTCCTTTTAATGTAGGCAGTAATTTGAAATTAATCTCGGTATTCTCAATAAATTAAACTTCCTTTAATAGATGGCAGCACCATAACTTAACTTGAGTTTAATAATATCAAAATTTTTCTCTTTTTTTCCCACGAATGCATTTGAGATTATGACAATAATATTTATTTAAAACTAATTTTGAAATGAATGAGTGACTGAAATTTCGAATAAAATTAAGAAATTTGAATAAAGAAATATTTTTGGCCAGGATTATTTTTTCACAAAAAAGTGTTTTTGGTCATATTTTATATATTTTGTTCTAGAAATTGATAAGGGAAGCGGTTGGATCGGCAGACCATGTTGTGGTATTCCTCAATCTGAGAAGTGCAAATTAGCCTGTTTACAGGTAAGAAATACCTCTACATCCCTTACCTATATTGATTTTTTTTTTTTTTTTTTTTTTTTTTTTTTTTTTTTTTTTTTTTGTTTGCTGATATAATTAAAATAGGAAGCAACATTGCACCTCGTGACACCTGAAACTTTCTTCTCGAATTAGAAAGTAATGAAATTTTTTAAAATTTTGTTTACTTTTGTATAAGATAAAGTATTAAATATTACATTCACTCAAAATAACTTATCTGCTTTGTTTAAGTAACATTATTTAAATTGCTTTACTTGCATATATTTTTATCAACCTTTTTAAAATAGTGGCTTTCATACAAACGTTGCGAGTTTTTTTTTAAATTTTAAATAACATAGGAAGTTTTCTTATGAAAATTAAGAAAAAATCTTTATTTCTAAACAAAGTCTTTAATGGCTTAAAATAATTGAAAATTCCCCATTAATTAATGGCACGTTGCATGATAACACTTTTGCTCTACCAGAGAGAAATTTGCTGTTATTATATACTGACATTTATTTAAGCACAGTAATGTCGCTGTATTACTGTCTGATTTTCTTTACATGGTTTTATCTCAGCGGTATATGCGTCATTATATATTACTTACAGACTGTATATGCCTATTTTTTTAATAATTTTAGTTTTTCATTTTGCTTTTGTTTATTTATTTATTTGCAGCCTTAATTGAGTCCCTGTATCTTTTAGGCCCAGTCTGTTTTAGATCTTACTATAGCTTGCCGTAAAAGTGATGAAATAGCTTTTTACACTTGCATTGAAAAACAAGAAGGTGAGTGTAAAATTGATATCCAACTTTATTAAAATTAACAATGCTGTAGTTAAAAAAAAAGCATTTTTACATTAGCTTTTTCCTTAAAGGCTCACTTTTTTTCCCTTTATTTAAAATCGCTTTATAAAAAACATTGTTTTTTCTTCTGTAATTCTTTTTGTTTACTGCTTTTAATTTTATTATGACTTTCAAAAGCATTTGCAAATTAAAATAATATGAAAATAATCCATATATTTGATTATACAATTTTCTAAACTCTCATTACTTTTTGAACAAACAGAATTATTGTCAAAAGTATTAAAATTGGTCCAGATACAATTTTTTTAATCAATATTTTATGATGTGGGGACCGATTTGAGAAAGTCGGAGCCAGCAGATTATTAAACTATGATAAGTCAGATATTTTTTGGCCCATTTGGATGCAATTTTCTACAATGTTCACTAAAAAACGTGTAGTTAACATAAAATTAAGACAATTTTGATAAATTAATCAAAGTACCGGGTCAAATGCACACAAACAGCCAGGTCATACCAGGTAAGCATCGATGACATTTCCAGTCATGATGTACTGTACCACTGCTTACAGTTTAACCCATAAATTCAGAGACATTATTCATCTCCTGTATATTCATTTTGTGGCTTATCATTATCCACATTTGTTGCTTGGTATTATTTTACAATGAGCACTACATTTAAAAACTGAAATTATTTTTCAAATCTTCTAAATGGATAAAAATATAGATTTTAACAAATTCTACACTCTGCTCTGAATAACTTTTAACCTATTTTTGAAAATTTAAATACTAGGATGCAATCGTGAGGGCCCCCGCCTAAGTATAACTTCCTAAAATGCAAAAGAAATCGGATGAATAGCTTCTGAAAAATGACATATATATTTCAAAAATGATATATATATTTCAAAATATATTCAAAAATATTTCAAATATATATGACATATATATTTCAAAAATATTTATTTTTGTGCATTTTCATTTCCTGGAACTATTTACTATTTTATTTATTTATTTATTTATTTTTTTATTTAAAAACATTCACTTTAAGAAAAGTAAAATACGCAAATAGTAAAAATGACGTCTTAGGAGTTCAAACATTTAATAAATTTTCGGTCTGAACTACGGGGAACAAATCTTCCAGATTGCGGTTGCATCCTATGCTTTGGGAGTCATAAATCCAAATTCCATCAAAGAAAAAAAAGGGGGATAAGGTTAAATATTTCTGAACATCCCTAAGGTATCTTATAAGCAAATTTTAAATGGGCCTCTCAAATCAAAAAGATAGAATCTATTTAATATGTAAATATCCAATCATTAGGTCGAAAACTTTTTAGGGTGTTTAATGTTCTTGTTATTATGAGCTCTGTGCATTTGAATCTTACTATTTTAATCTTTATTTATGTCCAGCTGGTGAGAGATGTTGCAAGAATGCTCAAACGGAAAACTGCTTAGAAGCTTGCAAGAATGTCTTCTCTGATGCCTTCACTCCAACCAAAGTCGTAAGAGACGCTTACCACAAACACTGTTCAGAAGGTAATCCTCGTATACAGCAGTGCATCCACACATACATCAGCGTCACTCCAGCAGACAATCCATTCAAAAGTAAGAAGGGTTTATATTTCTCCTCCAGTTGTTTTAGAATATTGTTTAATAGTAACAAGATATCGCCCATTTGTATATATTGCTCTTCCTTATGGTATAGGAAAAATAAAAACACTAATTCCTGCTGCCTAAAGTGGGAAAAATCTTAAAACCTGTTTGATTTTATATTGTTAAAACCGGCGTTGAACAGCCGATCCTATTCTGAGTTTACAACTATCAGTGTTAAACTCCATAGCCTTGTCATTTTAAATACAATCCAGAAACAAGGGAACCCCTGCATCAAGCATTGGGAGAAATTTGCCTTCGTGGGGAACTTTTTGATGGAACTAATCCGCATTTTGCGTTACATGGAGAAGAAAACCTTCCATGGTTAGATTGACAGCAAGGGGACTCTAACCCATCATCCGTCTACCACTGAGGATATTTTACGTCAGCACTGTGGTCAGTGCAAGCCTCATGCAGAATTCATTTCGACCAGCCATCGCTGGTATTCAAACCGAGGTCACCTCATTGGGAGACGAGTGCTCTATCCCCTTAGCGTACCAGGCTCAAACCTGTTTGATTAATGGAAGAAACAGAGAGGAGTTGAAAGAATTGATTATTAAAAAACGTCTCCAAGTTTCATAAGGAAATCAAACTCGTTTTGTATCCCACCTTTCTCATAAGTGATTCGGCAGTTTTTGTTTCCTGACTTCAATATTAAATTGTAACCCCTATGTAGATACTATTTTGCATACATTTTTGACAAAGATTCTTAAAATAGATATAATAAGGGTGGCTATTGCGAAATAACAGGCTATTAATCAATGTCTCATCTATAATGATAAAAATTAAACCTAAGGAAACACACATTTCTTGCTATAGAATATCAGGTCAAAACACAAAGTGTGACGGTGTAAGTTAATATAATAAAATATATTTAAAAAAAAGTATAAGATATGTCTGACTTATCACCCAATCATTAGAGAACTCGAAATTAGAAGAAGTACAAATTTATTATAATATACAATAAATTCAAACAGATTTTATATGATTCATTACTTTTTATTTTCAGACATGCATTGTTGTGAAAAATCTCCTAATTTGCGATGTCGGACTGTGTGTAAAGAAGCACTAAGAACTGAAACAACCGATCAAGATATCATTGATGTCCTCAGTAGGAGTGAATGTGGAAATCCACTTCCACAAGTAAGATTTGTTTTCCTAGTTAACTAGGCTTTAGAGCACTAAGCTAGTTTGTAAATACTGAATTGAACTATGCTTTCGTTCACTTCAGTGTTTACGAACTCGGAGGAAAGGTAAGGCATATCAAAGATTGAAAGTCATCGTACGCCTCTCAGTGATCTCTTATTATAAGTTCTGGCTCCTTTTGAACCGATACTTTTATTAACGAAAGTCATCTTAATTTTATATCTTCAGGGCCCGACTTAGCCCAGGGCAAAAACTTCTTTGGGGACCCTTCTCTGCTTCACTATACTTCAGTAATGAAGAATCGAACTTTATATGGATGTATTTAAATTTTTGGCCTCATTATATATATTTAACAATAAATTTTACTAGAACATAAAATAGCAAGAAAGGCCCCTTCCTCCAACGGTCAGACGAAGTATCGTTCTGTCCATTTTATTGATTTTCTGACAATTTTATGTTCGTCACGCCGAATGTAGTTTTCTGATTGTTAACTTTGTCACCTGGATGCGAAAATTCATATCCTTATCCTTGCTGACATTAAAGCGGAATTCAGTTAAATTTTTGCAATGACGATGGCTCAATTAAGCCAATCAGAAGCCCATATTTTTGTAAACATATCGCATTTCGCAATATGTAAAAGTACAGGCTTTTCATTAACCAAATTTGTCATTGCGAAAATTTAGTCGAAATCCGCCCTAGAAAACCATGGATTTACGAAATATATATTTTTTGCGTTCACTATAGATTAATGAAGAAGCTAACTTAAAACTGGTGGATTTTACACTGTATATTTTGTTTAAAATATTCATTAAAGAAGTATTTTCTATTCGATTTGAGGGCCCCTTCTGATGTGGGGGCCCGGGGCAGCTGCCCCTTACACCCCTGAATTAGTCAGGCTCTGTATATCTTTCAATGATTTTCATCGAAAATTGCATTTAAACAGGCTAAAGTGCCGATATTTAACCCTTTAGTAACCGAATGAGTGAGCTATATAAATTTGTCACCAAATCAATACAAACATCTATCCTGAGCCGATTTGAATACCATTTTTGGCTATAATCATTGAAAGATATTAAATTAAGATTGTTTAGATGCATAAAAGTGTTGGTTTAAATGCGCATGAACAGTCAGTCCATATAATGGAGAGGCTCCTTTCTACTTCCGATTATATTTTCTGTCAAGGGTTGCTCTGCAATTTTCAATCCTTATGATGTGCTTTATTTCTCCTTCCCCCTCCAAATTTGTAACCGCTGTACTTTTTCACTCTGCTTATTTCATTTATGAATTTATTATATAAATGTAACATTTTTATATATTTCTACAAGCTGCTGAAGGAGGGTAAGCTAATTTTTATCTATTGTAATTTCATAACTGAAGTGCTTAGAGGAAGAACGTGTTAGATAACGTTTAAGTGAATTTGAGGAAACTAGCTTAAAACTAGCTATGTACAGAAACCCGTTAGAAAAATTTCATTGAAAACTGATTTTTAAAAACTTAATGGGAAAAGACAATGTTTTAGACTCAATGTGAGATGTTCCGCAATTGCCGCTCTTAGTATATATTTTCTAGAATCTTTCTTAAAAAGTGAGTAAAAATATATATTTTTGAGGTCACATCAATATTTAAGCGAGGAATAACATTAGAATTAGATTAATCTCTATTGAGGAAGACGCTATTAAAAACATCAAAATCGTTAGATTGTCATATAAAAAGCCAAGATGTTTTGGTGTTTCTACTCCTGCTTTCCTCAATAGGGATTCGTCAGATTTTGATAACATTTTTGCTTTTTCCTTTGATTTACTTCATTTCTGTCTAGAAATATACATATTAGAGGTAGTTATTATATTGCACCCCGAATATATAACCTAGGGAGTTGAATGTTTTCAAAATATCACTTAACGTGTTCTTTTATTAAACTCTACAGTTTATTTCATTTTTTTTCTTCATTTCAAGCTTAATATTTTTATTAATTTTCAGTAGAAATACTTGGTATAGTATTGATATATTCTTTTATTTTAATCTTAATGCGCTTGGTAATTTTAGACATATGTGTAATTTAAATTAATAAATAACAACCTATAAAAGGAGTGTCACTAATAAAAACGATTAAATTTCACATCTCAAAAAGAATCCCCCGATTCGAAATTGGTATTGGTCTTAATTACAATCGGTTCTGAAGTATTTATTATACTAATTATACAGAAATCGTTATCCCACTTTCTGAATTATTATACCTTATTCAAGTTCGGATCGTTTCCATCGTTTCGGATCGTTTCCATCCAATCATTAAGGTAATCAAGCTCTTAATTATTTTAATACTGAGCATAGCTTTAATAATGACCTGCGATTAACGGTTTTTTCTTTCCCGCTTAAATATCAATTTATCTACACTAATGTTTATATAATGTACTCTATTTGCTTTATTTCATGAAACAAGAAAAAAAAATTTCCTTTCATTAAGAGTTTTTCTCTTGTAAAGATTAGATTTAAAACTTTGCTAATATTTTATTTTGTTATCTAGCTAAACAAGTTCACACAAATATATTTATAAAAGAAACGTTGTTTTTTTTAATTGTATAGATTACTTATGAATTCTTCACTAAAATATTAATTACTCAGGATAGGTTATGGCAATGTTTCCTAATCAATTCAGCAGCCAATGAACCTGGAGGTTCACTTATTCAATCAGAAAAAGTCGGAATGGACAGTGCAAAGTTGCAGTGTTGTTTTCGAGCTGCCACAGTCAACTGCCAAAGACTTTGCATTGAGGTAAGTCTTTACGTGTATCCTGGCATATTGCAATAAATATGTATCCTGGCATATCTTTTTCTTTAAGATATCGCTAATTATTGTTTTATTAATGATTTCAGACTTTCAGTAATCAGTGGACAAGCAGTTGGAGTGATTTTGACCGCATTTGTCAGTATCAATTGGCTGAGTCCGAAATGATAAGATGCTTGACTGAAGGTAAACTAAATAGCTTAACATTCAGCTTTCAGATAAATGTAAATTTTTATTTAAAAAAAAAACAAAAAAAAACGTAAAATATTAATTACTATTGATAACTGACTTTTACAAAATCTTTTTTACCAAAGCAATAAAATTCATGAACATCTATTTTTTACATAATTTAGCTATCAATTGCTCAATTAACCGCCACTCATATCTTCGATATAGATTGTGTGTTTAGTGGCAATTTATCACTTTCATGATATTTTTTATTTACTCTCGTATGTAACTTTCCAATTACATTGATGGAAAATTAAAAAAATAAATAAATTAAACAATAAAAATACAATCGTATGAGATTGATAAATACAGGACTTTTCAAAAATTTAGACATGTTTACTATTTTTTCTGCATTGTTTTGATTTATCTAATACAAGGTATACTGTGTTATGGCAAATATTTTAGTTTTAAATACAAGGCTTTCCCATTAGTTACAATAGCTCTATTGTTTATGACATATTGTATTACTTTTTATAAAGGATTCTTATCGAATATTTTAACAAATATGTTTTGAATGATGCCATTGATAAATACATGACTTTTTTGTAAATTTAAATAGCTTTAAAAAATTTTGTCAACTCTTTATTTTTTTAATGGAGTCTTTTCTGATAATGAACTACATATACTATTTAACTGGAGGCAGTGTTGCATTTATTTTGACAATTTTTTAATGTAAGATTTTTTAAACAAATTATTTAGTGTGATTTTATTTATATGTATTTTATAGATATCATTGATAAATACATGACTTTTTTATAAATCTAAATAGCTTTAAAAAAAAAATTTTTTTTTGGGGGGGGAGGGATTTGTTTATTTAAATCTGAAAGAATAGGGTAAACTTAGTGCTATATAGACTAAAGTGGAAAATAATGTAAGGTAAAGTAGAAAACAATGACATGAATAATGTATGTTTATGTACTTGACTTACGCTTTATTCACTTTAGACTTATTTATTTTTATAAGAGTCTTTTCTGATTTTCTGATTTTTTAGCTGCACATACTATTTTATTTCAGAATTTGTTTAATTTACCAATTTTTTAAGTACACTTTAGCTTTTTAAAAAATATTAATATATTTTTATGTATATGTGTTTTATTGATGTCATTGATAAATATATAAATTTTTGTTAATTCTAAATAGTTTTAAAAAATTTTATGAATAGCTTTATTTTTTTAATAGAGATTTTTCAGCTATATTGAAGAACATATTCATTTCACCAATATTTTATAGTATCTTCAGCTTTTTAAAAAACTATTTAGTATGGTTCTATATACATGTATTTTACTGTTGATTTTTAGTGGATGAGCCATGTGAGCTCGGTTGTGAAGGAATGAAATATTGCACAAATTTTAACTTTCGTCCCACTGAATTGTTCAGAAGTTGCGATCAGCGTGCAGATAAGGCGGCTCAACATGACATAGAGCACTGGGAAAATGGAATTATACACCTGCCCATGATGGAAATACCAGTCCTGAAAATTTCTCGTTGCCATTCTGAAGTGTGGAAAGCCATTGCATGTGCCTTGCAAATAAAACCTTGTCACCCTATAGCTCACATCAACAGGATATGCAAGTAAAAGATGTTTTGAGCCGAATCTAGATGAATTTGTATATCATTAACTTTTTTATAATGTTTATTAAACACAGCGTAATTCACTTATTTACAGGGCTGACTGCATAGATATACTTAACAGCTGTGTGGACAGAAGTCGTCTACTCCACAACCAGAATCCGGTCACCCTCTGTGAGATATTATCGCCTCCTGGAAATGATACTCCTTGCATATCTCTTTCACCCTACCTCGGTAAGCTTTATTGTAAAGTTTTATAGTTTCCATTTGCATAGTAGTTTACAGGGTGTCCGAAAAATATGGAAACGATCTAACATCTGGAGACGTTTGCATTGAATAAAAATAGAGTAAAATATTTTGAAAAGATGTATATCATGATATTTATACAGTTTTGGATTCTCTAGAGATATTTACCCAATTTGACCTACTTGTTTTTTTGCATTTTGGTTCATAGATGGCACTGCAATCGCTATCTGAAAACGGGGTATATTTCTTAAAATGGGGATGTTATGTATTATAAGCTATTTCATAGCTTAATTCTCAACGCAGCTAACGAATAACTAAACTTTACACAAACTATTCAGTTGTTGTTGTTGTTAATTTACGTCGCACTAGAGCTGCACAATGGGCTATTGGCGACGGTCTGAGACACATCCCTGAGGATGATCTGAAGACATGCCATCACAATTTTGATCCTCTGCAGAGGGGATGGTTCCCCCGCTTAGGTAGCCTGCACGCGAAGTCGAGCACTTTACGGTAGAACAGTTTAACGAGGCCCAATACCGCGCACCCTTGGTCCCTACGCAGACTGATCCAAGTGGTCACCCACCCGCACACTGACCGCAGTCTGTGATGCTTGACTACGGTGATCTGCTGGGAACCGTGTCTTAACAATCAGTCCACTGCGGGACTTCATATTTTGAAAAAACCTGTATGAAATAATCTTGATCCCCTCACCATCCTGAAAGACTTTCAGTATCATCCATAGGGGAAGAAGTCAGAATGGTATGTTTGACATTAAATATTATTGAATGCATTTTTTGAAAATTATTTCAGAAGTAGATTTTGAGAATTTAGACCAGGTGTGTATTTTTTGGTCATTTCTTTACTTTTTAGACACCCTACCTTATACGTGTTTCTATAAAGAGGTTCAACTTATATATTCTAAATTGCTTGAAATTATGTGATTAAAAAGTTCCTAATTAATGCCCTTAAATACTTACTTAGAATAAATCTAATTAGAAATTCTTACTTACAGTTGAGAGTAAACATACTCAAACATCTACGGAAGTTAGTCATCCATGTAAGCCAAATCAATGTAGTCCAAATGGTGTTTGTATGGTAGAAAGGAATTGCCGTATTGGACAACCCTGCCGTTCATATGCGTGTGTTCCTGGTAAGATAATTGTTTTATCAATTCAAATTTTTTATTAGAAATGTGTGGCACACATATAAATATTTCTTAAATTATAAGGTTTAAAAATATACAAACGAAAAATTACCTTTAAAACTAATAAAACTTGAATTAGTAAATAAAAAAAAGGAAAAATACTGAAACAATTTTACCAAGTTAAAAAAAATTGACTTCTGGCACCCTGATAAATGCCTGATCCAAACAATAGACAAGAGGAATGTCATTTCATCGTTTTGCCATTTATATTTTTTCTGGTAAATTTTATTTTATTTTATAACCGTCGTTAAGCAGCCAACCTAATTTTGACTTTTATATTTTTTCTAGTAAATTTTATTTCCTTTTATAATCGTCGTTAAGCAGCAGACCTAATTTTGGCTTTCCGAATACTAATATTCAACTCTGTAGCCTTGTAATTTTGATCCCAATACAGAAGACAAGAGAACTACTTAATCAAGTACTGTGGTAAATTTGTCCTCGTGGAGGACTTTTTAATGGAACTAACCAGCATTGCGTACATGGAGAGGAAAAACGCGAAAACCTCCCACGTTTTGCCTGATGGAAAGGGCCCTCTAACCCATGATCAGCCTACCACGGAAGATATATGGTCGGTGCGAGTCGGGTGCGGAATTCGTATTTACATTGTCCAGCCATAGCTGCGATTCGAACACAGTGCACCTCATTGGAAGATGAGCGCTCTATCCCCTGAGCCATCAAGTCTCTATTGGCAAATTTGACTTTAGTTATAATACTACTACAGCAATAACTTATTACATTTTTACAAATAATTTTTTGTATCGACTGGAAATCGAACCCGGTTCGCCTCATTGGAAGGCGAACGCTCTATCTCCTGAGCCGCCGCGCATCCGACTTGCACCAAACCACAGTGCTTACGTGAAATATCCTCAGTGGTAGAAGGATCGTGGGTTAGAGTCCCCTTGCTGTCAGGCTAACAGTGGGAGGTTCTCATGGTCTTCCTCTCCATGTAACGCAAATGCGGGTTAGCTCTATCAAAAAGTCCTCCACGAAGGCAAATTTCTCCCAATACTCGCGATCCAGGAGTACCCTTGTCTTCTGGATTGGGATCAAAATTACAAGGCTACGGAGTGGAACATTAGTAGTCGTAAACCCATAAAATTGGGTCAGCTGTTCAACGACGGTTATAAAAAAAAAATTATTTTTTGTAGAAAGGCACTTTACGGTTGAACAGTTCGTTCACCCACTTTCGGCCCCTTCACAGACTAGGCTAGATCTAGTGGTCACTTTCCCACAGCCAGTGATGCTTGACTTCAGTGACATACTGGAAATCTTGTTATGATCAGTCCACTGTGGGAAAAATCGAAAATCAATTATACTACTCTGATTTAATTTTTCGCAAATTACAAATCGAAATTTCTTTCGAATTCATAGATGGCGTCAAGCAAATGTCGTGAATTACGTTTTAATGATATCATTGAACAAAAATTTGTCTTATCACACCCTATTTTAGTGAGAAAAATAATTGTAAAAAATAACAAAAATAATAGTAAAAAATTTAAGAAAAATACCACTTCAAAGCAATTGTGTTATTCAGAAGTATACAGGTATTATATCTAGTACAAATGCAAAATTTTATTTCTTTTTATCTAGGTTGCCGCATGGGTGACATGTCACAGCTCATCGTACCTAGAAGTTCATATGTCAGAGTTCCCAGCAATACTCATGGACCTCGTTGCCACATGGTTTGCTATTGTAATCAGGATAATCTTTTGGAAGATTGTATGACACAACCCTGTTTAAGCACAGAGCATTGTTGGCATGAGGGAAGGAGATATAGTGAGTCAAAAACATAAAATAAAATTTTCTTACACTATATAGAAACTTTTCAATATTTACCTAGTGAGGAAACCAATAAATTTAATGTTGCCTATTACACATGTGTACCAATACACAATACTCTCTCTCTGTTTTTGTTTATACAGAAAAAATGATTTCCAGAACTTTTTAAAAAGTAAACAAGTTTATTTAAAAAAATCATTCATTAGAAAAACTACAAGAAATCATTTTGTTTCATTCTTTGCTTTCAAATGTGCAAAACTTTATAGTGCTTTTATAAAAACCTTTCAACTCTGTTTGCAAAAAAATAAATGAACAAAATAGATAAAATAAAAATAATAGGAGTTTTATCTCAATGGAAATAAAACTGATGGCAGAAGAAAATTTGATAACACTGAGAACAGGAAACAGTTATATTTTCTGTTGCTCAAGTGTAAATTAATCTGAATAGATTATATAAATTATTTTATAGAAGAGTCATAGGTTATTATAGTTAGTTACTATTTGATTTATTCGATAGAAAATTCATAGGATATAATTTAATGAATTGTAATATATTTTCTGCAGTATAATGAATTGCAATACAGTATTTAACTTTCAACACTGTTTCCGAAAAATAAATTAAAAAAATAGATAATATAAAAATAATAACAGAGTTTTATTTTAATGGAAATAAAACTTCTAGACTGATGACCTGCATGGTGGAAGAAAATTTGATAACGGGAAACAATTATAATTTGTTGTCTAAGTGTTAATTACCTTGTATAGGTTATGTAAATTATTTAATAGAAGAGCCATAGGTTATAGTAGCTATTCAATGGAGAAGTCATAGGTTATAATTTAATGAATTGTTTTTGCAGATCATAATACACAATTCAAAGCCGGCTGTAAAACTTGCTTTTGCTATGATGGTGAAGTTACCTGTTCCCCTCAGATATGCAGCACTGGTAAGTTCTAATTGTTTTAATTTTTTTACCCATTACTTTGGTGGTATAGAGCCTCAAATGCTTAAGTTAATTTTCAGCTATTTGCCACAGCTTCTTTGATGTCATTTTGTCTTATTCATTGATCAGTAATTTTTTAAAAGACTCTAAATTTTTCTGGAATTAAAACCATCGAGTGGTTTTTGCAAATGAATAGAAAATGAAGACCAAGTTCCATACACATAGTTTAAATCTTTTAATCAAAACGCCATTTATTTAGTTTATATCTGTTCTTGCTATTATTTTATCATACTAAACTGACAATGGTCCCAACTTCGCAAGCAAATTTCATCATGGAAACCATTGGATTTTTTTAACACACTTTTTAATGAATATATTGTTTGTGATAATGGTAAAAGAAAAATATTGATAAAATCTTTATTTTCCCAAGATAGTTCCCATACTTTCAAATGATACCATAAAAATACAGTAAGGAGACAATATCACTTTTAAATTTCTAGAGACATTACAGCTTCAAAATTGCTTTAGATTTGTTTGCTGCACAAAAAACAAATAAATATCTATATTTAACATATTGCAAAAAGTATGAAAAATCAGATACTTTAAAATTATTCTGTTGTGTTAAAATGTTTTGTTTTTTTCTTGCTTTGATAACCAAAATAATTATTAATTGGTTATCAAATGAAAAAAATAAACAACAAATTCTATTATATGACTTTTATTGTTTTTAAACACAACATCTGTACTTGCAATCTTAGTACTGTTATTTATGAAAAGTTTGAACATTGAAATGATTTTAAATGTAAATTATATCTACCTTTGTTGCAGGTCTACCATGTAACTGCCAAGATCATTATGTTCCAGTTTGTGGAGCCAATGGCAAAACTTATCCAAGTGCATGTCTGGCAAGGTGATATATTTTTCTTTAAAATTTTTACTCTTTTCATTTTTTCCCCTGCAATCTAAAGATTGTTCAAATAAAAAGTAGACTTAACATCAAAAATATAGCAGAAATAGCAGGACCAACCTTCAGTTTTTAAAAATGTAGAATAGCTAATAACTACTTTTCATGAAATCACTGAAAGTAAATGTAAAATCATGCTAAGATAGTTATATCCATAACTGTAGTCCAATTCTTATTGGCAGAAGGTGAAGGTAATGTAGATCATTTATCATCGAAAGCTTGGTGTTTAAACAAGACAAACGGCTGAGCACAGATAGCATAAACTTTTTGTGAAAGACTTACATCGAAATTCAATCTGTCTAGATCCAGGCTAAAAAATTCCATCTCTCTCATGATTCCATTGCTACTATTGACAAAATGATTTAAGGTCATCAAAAAGTTATGACTAGTGACATCTGTGCAACCCTATCTTTCACCAGCAAAAAAATCACGGAATCACCTTTTGCCTCTACAAATTTTAGTTTTTTGCCTTGGTTTGTTCTGGGAACATCCATTTTAGCTTGACTTTACATTAACTTGCTCTTGTGTGAAGCAATATTGCAGTGTACTCCTATTTCCTTCACTTGCAAAATTGAATGGTGGAACTGCTACCTATATTTCTGATGCTGCTATATAAGATATAATTTTTATTATTATGCATTAAAGCATGAATTTGAGTTTCCACTTTAATGTGATAACTAATTAAAAGCTAAAAACTTTGTTTTGTAGAAAATTTATTATTTACAAAACACATAATTTTGAATTTATATGCACAATATAAATAAGCAGTTTTTTTTATGCATTTATATTCTTATAAATAATTTTGTACTTCTCTTTTAAAGGTGTGTTGGACTTACTGACGACCAGTTTGAGTTTGGTGCTTGTTATGATTCTGACCCATGCAGTCCTAATTCCTGCCATCCTTACCATAGGTAACCATGCTATTAACTATATCAGTTTGAAACTGAATTGATAGATACTGTGTTAGTGGTATTAATTTATACAAATGGTTGCATTGATACACTGGAAACTATCACTAAAAATATTTGAGAATGCAGTGATATCTTGCATTTAATTAAAAATGAAAGTTTAAACTCGAAAATGATTCTGAAATGCCACATGTGACATTTCTCAAAATTTAATTTCTTTTTCATTGAATTTTTATCATATTAGTTCATTTGAAATGCTTTGTAAAATAAGACTGATCAAAATACATTTAAGGGAAAATAATATTTGCTGGAAAACAGCTCTGAGGAGAAAATTAATTAAAAGGCTATACTCCTCTGTAGAAATACTTTCCCTTGTTTAGGTAGGTTTCCTCACACTTAACCTTTTTGTGTTTCATTACAGGTGTGTTCCTAAGAAACGAGTTTGCTTGAGTATTAGACACCGAAGTTGCAAGCAGTATGATTGTGGTAAGTTGATCTAACTTTGGTTGACTTCTTCTTATAACTTTTGATTTTTATTCTAATTCAAAATTATGTTTACAGTGAACATGCAACACAATTGCAACCAATTACCAAAGTTCCCTGTGTGTGATACAGATAATGTGGAGCATCCTAATATATGTTGGATGTTACAAAGAAGAAAGTTACTTGCATATTATGGGAAATGCATGGTTAGTATACAAATTACTTTCTTGTAACTTCTTTCTTAGTAAGACCAGTTTAGTTAAAGTAGCTTTAATGTAGATCTACCCAGTGGCTTACATAGAGTTAGGTGTCCCCCCCCCTGTGCAAGATTTATAAATGGGCCCTATCTCAGACCCAAATTTTTAAAAATTTTAATATGAAACAAAAATATTATGAAGATACATTCAGGTATTTAAAAGTCATTCATTTTATTTTAATTTAAATTTTCTTAATACAGTCAAACCCCGCTATAGTGAATCTTCAAGGGACCGAAATTTCGGTTCACTATAACCGGCAGTTCAGTATATCCGTTACGCAGGCAATTTAACTAATGGTTCCCAAACTCATCCCTTTTATTACACATTATTTAAATAAATGACTGAAAAATATTATGTAGTAGCAAAAAATTTGTTATTTTTCATTACTCTTCGTCTTTCGTACAAATAAAAATTAGTAATCTTTAGCTGATGAGCAATCTCAACATCAGATATGGAAACACTTCCCGTCTCTCAGATAATTTTTCGTGAATTTCTGTTATTCCGCTTTTTAAACCTGTCTAACCTGCCATTCGAGCACATAAAATTAGTCTCAATAGATGGTTTTAAAAATCGGTGTATGTATTTATTTTGAAGTAGAAATTTCAAAATCATTACAAAAAAATGGGGAAAAATCAGTCGGAGACAGAAAAAAGTTCATTATATCCAACTTCCTCACTTTTTTGGTTCACTATATCCACTAAAAATAACATTATACGCGCATAGCAAGGCACGGGACCGAACATTTCGTTCACTATATCCGGGAGTTCACTATAGTGAACTCCGGTTTATATATAAACCATGTTCACTTTAGCGGGGTTTGACTGTATTAATTAATAAGGAATTAATAATTATGATGGAAAGGTGGAATTTAGAAAAGTACTAAATTGGAACATTGTATGCACTTAACAACTTACCAGATTTAAATGAAATTCATCTTAATAATACGAGAAAATTATTCACTTTATTATAAAAATAATTTAGAAGTTTAATTAAGGGTTATTATTATTTGAAAAGTGAATTAAAAAAATATCTTGTACATATATTTTTATAGTAATTCATATGTAGAGGTGCACAACATTTTCTTGAATAAAGGGCTGCATGCCCAAGTACCTCGGCATGTAGGTGGCAATTATGAAAATTTTAACATAAATATCAGTGTTTCAGGCGCAATTCTCTTTATCTATGAATCTGTAAAATGTGTTACTTGTAAAATACTTGCATGAAATTAAATAGTTTTAAATAATTTTAAAAAACGTATATTATTTTTTTCTTTTCCTCTGTCAACTTAGTAATATATTTGCATAAAATTAAATTCTTTCAAATATTAAAATTCCTTTAAAACTGAAAAACACAAAACTGATACTATTCAAAAATAAAATATTTCCTTCGTATAAAAAAAGACATGTCGAAAAATAAATATAAAGGCTAGGGAAAAGTGATGGATTTTTATTTTTATCATATCACGTAATACAAATATTTATTTTAAAACAAAATAACTCTAATGTTCTTAAATAAAAGTAAAAAATAAAAACATGGATAAATATTTTATGGACCAATATAAATGAAAATTATATTTTAATTAAAGAAATTGTATAGGGTCTAAGCGATTTGAAATAAAACTATCGCATTATAGCTTGAAAAAAGATTCAACATTCAGTTGGGATTCAATTCAGTATATTTTTAAGCATTAGATTATTTATATTTATTAAATTATAAGCGACTTTATGAATGCTAAATCTTAAAACGGTTTTTTTAAGTTTCAAAAAATTAGAAACAAAGTTCAAAACAGTAAATAGTTTAGAAAACCCTCGTTCAAATTTCGGGTGCTATAATAATATTGTATTAAAAATATTGAGATTTAAAAAAAGAAAGATTGAAAAACAATACATACGTTATAACCACTCGCAAGTTTTGAATTGTGCAAATAGTAATCACTTTTGACGTGCTTTATTTGTGGCAATACTATAGTACTATTTTCTAAGTACTCTCTATGAGTTACTGAATTTTCGGTTGACAAGAACTCCTAGTAAAAACTATAAACTTAAATTGGCTAGAAGTATAAAAATTAAGGTATATACTTAAAAATACTTGCACAAAAAGAATAAGAAATTAATACCAAAAAATGTTCTCTTAGAAGTAAGTTATATTAGAAGTAACATTAGAATTGTTAGCTACAATAAAATATCATTATAATATTAATTATAGTAATGTCATATGACTTTCATGTTCTTGTTTTTTATATTTTAGTCGCATTGTCGGGGAACAGGTTTGGTGTGTGGTCACAATGGGGAAACCTATGCCAGTGAATGTGCAGCCTGGGCTGAAAGAGTTTCTGTTGATTATAAAGGAGCCTGTGCTGCAGTTGGTTCTAAAGGTAAATCAAAATGTTTAGTTTAGCATTTTGTAGAAGAGCAATCAATAATTTTTGAAACATATTGTGGGCAAAATAAATTCTAAAAGTAAATTCTTTGGCATACCTCTAACTCTAGCTCCCATCGGTTTGTAATTGTAGATCTAAAATGTCATGGAAGAATTGTCAATTCGTCAGATGTGAGCTACAAGCTTTAAGTGACTTATTTTGATGTATTTGTAGATATCAGCTTACTTGAATAGTTTTATATTCCTTAATTATTGTTGTTGTAGTTCATTTACGTCGCTCTAAAGCTGCACAATGGGCTATTGGCGACGGTCTGGGAAACATCCCTGAGGATGATCCGAAGACATGCCATCACAATTTTGATCCTCTGCAGAGGGGATGGCACCCCCGCTTCGGAAGCTCAACGACCCCTTAATTCTTAAATTAACCAATAATTAAAGGATTACTGCTATCTAAAAACTTGAAAAAAATTTTAAAAATATCATATATTTTCAATTTGATAGCATGGCAAATAGGAAAGCTATGCCAAAAATTGAAACAAATTAACACATATCAAATATCAACCATTACTTAAATCTGTAAATAAATTAATTTTATTACAATGTTTTTAAAGGCAGTTATTCATACTGGTCTCTATGTTTTCAAGAATTTTCATTATTGGCAATTAACTTTTTTGTTCAAAATCAGTTTTTCTCATAACTGTATTAGCTATTAATAAATATTTTTTTAGAAAAAATTATTTATATGTTATAAAAATATTAAATAAAATCTAAACTTTTTTTAAAAAAATTTCTAGTTATGGGTAAATTGAAGGAAAAAAATCACAAAATATACTTTTCCTGATGTAAAATTAGTTGGTCTATGTTAAGTTATGATGCAGCTCTAGGCTTAAACAGGACATTAAAAGCAGTGCAATGCTTTATACATCCCCCCCCCCCAAAAAAAAAATATATGTGAGGTCATCAAAAGTAAAGTTTTATATACTTTTCTTACAGATGGAAAATATTCTCGTTGTGGTGGTATTAAATGTCCACCTTTGCCTTCAGAAGATTGTACCAAAGTTTTTCCTCCTGGTGGTTGCTGTCCAATATGTGGTAAATATTTGAATTTGTGTTCATAATTACATTATTTTAAAATGAAATATAACTATGCAGAGAGACAAGAGTTAAAGTTACTCAATCATAACCTTTTGGTTATCAAATATCTGATTATACTTTTCCTACTACTGGATTTTTTATTGCAATTATTTTCAAGCATAAATTTACAATAAGTCTAATTCCCATTCTAACAAGTATTTATTATTTTTGAAAATTTCATTTAAGAAAATTGAACAAGTGACAAGTTTTGTTTATTTAAAATTTTTCGTATTTAACTTTATACATTTTTAATTGTATGAAAAACAAAAATCGACTCTCCATTTAGAGAACTTAACCTTATGGCAGAAATCCTACTGATCCAAAAAAAAATAACTAAATAAATAAAACCATTACTTTTCACGTATGTATTTGCCACAGATTACATGTATAAAAAAATGATGAATACATCATAAACCAATGCGGGGAATGTGCAGGCAATTTTTTTCACCAAATAAAAACATCTGTTTTTCTTGAAAATTAAAATGCATTAAAATGGTGATAATTTTAAAATAAAATGAAAGTAGAAATATAGAAATTTGCAATTATGATGCGTTTAGTAATTATTCTTTTGAAACAAATTGTTACCTACTCATAGTTGATGATATAGTCTTCTATTGATTGAACTTAATTCTAAAATTGAAAATAATAAAGAAAAAAACATTTTACAATCAACAATTTCTTAATTAAGTCATGATTTTAAAATAATTTTCAGTGTTATCAGTTTTAAACTTTCGTTGAATAATAAAATAAGATAATTAGTAGTTCAGTGATATTAACAAAGTTTAAAATCCTTAAGTTCATTATAATTAATAATTTAATGTTTTTTTTTGTTTAGAAAATTATAGAAAAAACTAGAATAAGAAAATTTATAAAAATTGCAAAATGGTGGTTTTATTTTATTACCTAAAAAAAATTTCATACTCATTTTTTATTGAATGAATAATTTTTTTAGAGTTAAAAAGAATGAGCCATTCAAAAATATAAACAGACAGACTAAACAATAAATTAACTTTGAATAATAAGGTTAAAACAATTAAATCATCACTTTTGTTTTAAAAAGGATAAACAATTTTTTGCTTTTTAAATAATACTATTATAAAGATTTATTTAGTCAGCAATAAAACAGTTTCTTTTGTGGTAAACTATTTTCTTTTTATTCACATTTTTGTTATGCATTTGTCACTACATTTTTTAAAAAAAATTTTAAATGATTATTCTTATTGTCTGAAAGATAATTGAGAGTTTGATTGTCAGTTATATACATAATATATATTTTGATCAGTAGTCAAATAAATCAAAATAACAAACAAAAGTACTTTAAATGTTCATGTCCTTGTTTAAAAGTTTAATATTGTGTGTTAAACTTAGAATTATAAAATATAAAGAAGCACTGATAAATCTTCAAAACAAACTTCATATGAAAAATAATTTTGTTTCTCAACAAAGCAAGTTTTATTATTTTGATGACTTCTCAATGATTATATTTAATGTTTTCCTTATCTATTTGACAAAAACTTTATATTTGTTTAGATTTGTAAGTGTATTCAAAGCTTTTCCATTGTATAGACAATTTTAAAATTATGTATTTAATATGTTAAGAATAAGCCTTAAATGAGCCTAACGAAAATTTTCTATAAAGAAATAACAAAATTGTACATTCATGTCAATTAATTCAGATCTAAGACTAAAAATTAAGTAGAATGAATGAAAGAATGAGTAGTCATTATTTAAATTTATTAATTCACTAATAAATTTAATATTTAAGTTTTTAATTAATTTAAGAATATTAATTTATTTTTAAAGATGAAAAAATGTACATGTCTTCTCACCTACTTTAATATGTTAATGAATTAAAAATAAATCATAGCCTCATAAAAAATAAAATTTTGATGCGGAAGATGTAAATTTTTTTAGAGCGTTATTTATTATATTAGGCTAATTAATTAAAATTATTTATTACAAACAATAGTTAGTGATATAAATTAAATTAAATATGTATGCTTAAACTGTCCATTTTTTCACCATCAAGACTAATTCGATAAAAAAACCCATGAAATTCTGTCATAAGTAACAAAGCCTGCAATTTACATGATAAAACACATCTAGTGATCATGTTTCTTAGTTCTAAATCATGTCATGCCATTGTGGGCAGAGAAGTTATCGACAATGTCAACCTTCATCTATCAAAAGGTACTGCAAGATAGAATAGAGTTAGCATGTCTTATATACTAATAAATTGATCGTTAACAATCATTGTGGTAGTTACGCCCCCCCCCCGCCAGAATTTTATCACGGATAGAATTCAATGAAAGGATACCACTAGTTGCCGTATTTGAAAAAGACAGGGAGAGCTGTATTAAGTTCACTGCATTTTGAGCATGGTAGGTGAGAGTTGTATTAAGGTCACTGGACTTAGAGTGTGGGTCGTGAGAGCTGTATTAAGTTCTTGGCTGTGTGTCTGATCTCGCATGTGTTGCTATTAGCAGTCAAGTGTGTGCAAGTTTTTTTGCGAGTAAATGTGACTGAGAAGCAACAGGACGATGACGCAGTCACAAATAGCAAGTTAACTGTTCAATGTGGACCATCCATCTAAGTGGATTTGGACAAAACTTTTGATGTAGGCGAGTTCAAATCATTTCCACATGTAACCAATGTGGGGAGAGTAGAAATATACAATGTCAACCTTCACCTATCAAAAGGTATCCCAAAGTAGAATCGAGTTAGCATGTCCTATATACTAGTGAATTGATATTTAATAATCATAGTGGTAGTTAGGCCACACCATAAATTTATAAACGCTTATTTAAAAATGATTTCATTTGTTCTGAAAAAAACTTCTTACTTTTTTAGGTGCAGCACTCAGATTGCTCTACAGTCAAAAATTATCAGATGCTTCTGTAGAAGCTATTCGAGATGTGGACCCTGTTGTAATTCAAACAATTGCAGAAAAAATAAGAGAACATGTTAAAGTCACAGAATGTGAAGTGTTTGCATATTTGAGCTTAGAATCCGACATCATAGTCCTAGTCATGGCTATTACTGATAGCCCAACAAAACTACAAGTTGAAGCATGTGTGCGTGAAGCTGAGAAGCTTCAAGCTTTAATTCAGCAACACAGCCCAACACTACTGACAGAGCTGCCATTGTCGTTTTTCACGACAGCCATGATGCTAGATCCAGTCACAGACAGTGCAATACAGTTGACTTTTAATCAAACTTACTTATTAGTTTTTCTATTAATTACAGTGATTACATATCACATACAAAGGACTTGAAAAAGTATGAATTCTTTTTTCTTTTAATTGCTCATGCCAAAACAAACTTCTGTACATATGTATATAAAAGTTGAGAGTGTAAATACTTATTTGATGACGTGTGTTCCTATTATACATAAAATTTTGTAAACAAAATGAATTGTGATATGAATAAATTATTTTTACGACTGTTTGAAACATTTGATGGTTCTTTTTAATAATATGTTTTTGAAACTTATAAGAAAAACATCAATATTTAAGAAATAAATATATATATATACATAATAAAATAAAAAACAATTTCTAAATGCATTGCAATTTAATCTTTTTTAACATCAAAATTTTTAATTAATTGGAATAATAAACTATATTTAAGTAGTGAAAGATGCATGTTAAGAAACTTCCTATTGTTAAAGTATATAGTGTTTGATAGCTTTTAAGTTTATTTATAAGACAATACGACAAAAACCAAAATGATTGACAAGCATTCAAATTAAATCAATTTAGGATAAATCTAATAAAGCTGATTAAATCTTAAATTCTAGATCAAGCATTAAATTTCCCCATCAACAGAATTTAAGTTCCACTTAAAATTTCGACTTCAAAATATTAATTGATTTGATAGGCTTAATATTAAATTATATAAATTAAAATCTTTTATTGTAAATTACATCAAGTGTTTAATATATTTTTAAATTAAATATTTATAAAAGTATTTATTTTACTCAGTTTCACTTCCCATAACACAGAACTGAGAAGAAAATTAAAGATATTTTCATGTGCATAATTATGATATTTCAAAATTATAATAATTTTTTTCCTCACGCCTTTCAAGATTCTTATTGCTTTGGTCTGCTTTATGTGCATATCATTAGTATAAAATTATCACTTAATAACCTTAAATTTAATTAAAGCATTTTAAACTCCATTTATCTATGTTAAAATAGTCATGTTTTTGAAAGGGCAAAGCATAAAAATAAAATGTATTAAAAAATGAAACTTAAGCAGAGGTGTGGTTTTTTATCTCCATTTTAATAAATTGAGATTTATTCCATCTATAGGAGTAAAACTGTTATTAAAAATTAAGGATCTATGATTTTGCAATCTATATTTGGAACCATTTAAGAGATTTTAACAAAATCAACAACTACTTTTATATATAAAGAAAGTTTGTCTCAAATGTTCTTAATCTTTAATCAATATATTTCAATAAATAATATTCAACAACTTTATATGAAAGATACACACAGTGTGGCAGTGTTTATTGCATAATTTCAAAGTCTTTTTACACACTTTACATTATTAAGGCTAAAGGCAATTACAGCCAGCCAGCATCAAATTGTCTGTATATCTAAAAGCAGAGTAAATTAAGTAGAATTATGTTAATAAATATAATAACACATCAAGACTACTTTGGCACATAGTCAGTAAATACAAAAATAAATGCTTTGTAATCAGCTTTAACAACACAAAAAGAATACTTTAAAAATGTGGTAATAACTTCTCACAAAATATAGAATTTCAATATTGTATAGTAAACAGATCTTGTGTAAAATCAGATTCCAAGATTGAGCAGGGTGAGATTCTTAGTTGATATATACAAGCTGTGGGACAACAAACACTTCAGTTTATAAAATCAAAACTATTCAAGGCATTTTTAGCACCATTATTTCAGCTGAGTTCACATATGAATACAATAAGAGAAAACAAACATTTGGAAAACTAAAACATCACATTTTTCACTTCACTAAGCTGTTCTTCCTCCTAAGTTAATGGCAGGTGTATGCCGCCTCATGCACACTTGGCACCGAGAAATTTTTCTTCGTAAATCTCCTGCTTTCAAAGTTTCTGGACGGGGCTGTTCGTAAGTCCTCATTCCATCAAGTGTAGCCAACCAGAAGCTTTGGGCAGTTGTATAGTAATTACATCTCCCATGACCTTGGCACTCAATGAAGGGCAAAGGTCTGAAATCTTCAAGGCATGAGCCAGGTGATGCCAGAGGTTGGCCAATACCTTCGCCTCCAGAATCAGTATTCTATAGGAATACATATTTTATGTTAAAAATGCTTTACATTCCTCTCTTTTTTGAGTTTCAAGTAATTGCATGAATAAAAAAATAAGTGAAATGAGATGTACAGTTGCCTAAAATAGAGAGGGGCAGAAGACTTGTCTTAATACATAAATATAAACCTAAATTTATTTTAAATATATAAATTTATCATGTGGTACAGTTAGTTGAACATTGTTCATTAGCATTAAAGATTTAATACCATGACTAATAGCACCAACATTATGTGTTTAATGTTCCAAAATCAAATAAAGAAAAAACTAATAGAAAAAATATTGCATACATTTGGTTTGTGGAATTGTAATTATTTTAAAGTTCACATAGTACTATCAATCAGAACTCATGAGCAAATAAGAGCCTATGTCCATTGCTGTGTGTGTTGCTCTAATGAAAAAAACTTTTGTTTTCATTCAAAAGACACTTGTTTTATTTGTTATATTGATAGTAAATGATTGTATGATGATAGTAAATGAATGTATTTGCATATTGTAATTTTGTATATTGTAAAGTACAATATACAGAGAGTTAAATAACTAACATGAAGATTAAGAATAAAAAAAATCATACTTTTAGTGATAAAAAGAAATGTGTTTAAACTCTGAGTTAAATGGATCAAACATTAACATCAAAATATAAATTATTAAAACCATACCATTAGGAAGCTGTAACCAATCCATAATCCATCCCATCCACCAGGACATTCCGGCACGTCCATTGTTTGACTGTGTACAGCAATGACCTAAACAGTTAACATTACAACATTAAAATACAATCAAATTTAGAATAGAAAAATTGTGTTTACCAGATGCATAAAATATTTAACTTATACATTCCTCAATAAAAATAATTGCCCTCGAACCCTTAACAATTCGGAAATATTTTAAGTTTACTTACTACCTATAATGATTAATTATAAGTATATAATTAATTTTAAATAAATTGATTGCAAATATGGCAGCAATAGGTGTGATAAAAATAACGGAAATTATTTTAACTATTGTACGCATAGTAAAAAAAAATCAAACGTAAAAGCTTCATGCTGCTTATATGACAGCATGGGTCCATTAAGGGTTAAAATTGAAAATAAATACACAAAATAGAGTAATTTCAAAACTGATTCTGTGGTAATGGTTGTTCAAATCTCATAGTCTTGTTTAGAGGAACACCAAAATTAAACTTAACTATTTTATTAAACCTGACAAATCATATAAACCACAAAACAACCACACTGGTTATTAGCTAGAATAGGATAAATTCTTTTTAAAAAGGAGGGTATAATCAAAAAGTAAAACGATTGTAGTACCATCTCTGCATTAAAAAAAGAAGAAAATAATAAATTCTAATCACAGATAGTATTGTAATTACATGATAGTTTTAATAGTTTATTGTTTGGAATATTTTGTAGGTATTTGTTGAGTATTTTGTTGTTGTTTGTCTTACCTGGGTAGGTGTTTCACAAACAGAACAACGGCTGATATATTTTCGAATTTCTTGCCCAACTATAGGAGTCATGGACATTGTCATTGGTTCAGCTGTGCTCAGCCAATAGCTGAAATCATTTCTTGAAGCTGCATTGCAAACATTATTCAAATTGCAGAACATGAAAGGCATTGTGCTGAAACGTTGTAGACAACTTCCAGGTGTTCCTAAATGAAATAATTTTTTAAATTAAATAATAAAAATTATTGTAGTAATATTCATTAATGGAAGTAGAATACATTTTAGAAGTTATAAAACTAGCACACGATTAAACTACAACAATAAATATATTTAATAAACTGTAAGCTGCTGTTATTAAAAGGTATTAGATATCATTCAAATATGTTCATTTAAAACCATATTCAAAATTATTTTACTGGCAAAAATGTTTTCTAAATAGAAAAAAGGAATTTATTAAACATGTTTACAGAATAGTTTGTGTTTTGTTGTTGTTGTTGCTAATTCCCATCTGGTCTGACGGGGTCAGACCAGATCAATAAATCCGTTGACATTTAGAAAATCCGAAACCAAAATAGGAGAGGAATGAATGTCGTTCCAGTCCAGCCCTAAACAGTTCAAGGTGTGCTCAGGTGATGCCTTGTTTTGTTGGCATTTAGAGCAAAGAGGAAAGATCTTTTGATTAGCAGAAAATGTGCGACTTTTCAGGTGTCCACTGGCCACTCGGGATAAGCAAGTGTTGGTCTGCCTGTCACCAGGAAGAGATAGAGAGAGTCCTGGTCTTTTTGCTTTATACCAGTAGTGAGTAGGTGGAAGCAGTCACTTTTGTTTGTTCTGGGCCTTTTGCCTTAAAAAAAGCTCAAGGTATGTAAGCTCTGAGGTGGAGGGGACAGGATGGTCTAGTCCCTTCTTTGCAAGAGTGTCAGCCAACTCGTTTCCGTGGAAATCGACGTGGGACGGGATCCATTGAAAGTGGACCCCATGCTGCTGGGAAATGAGCTTTACTTTTTGTAAGATCGAAAAACTGTTTTTATCTCCAATGAGGGCCCAATTTTTGAGGTGTTGAATTGAACTAAGACTGTCAGATAGTATCCAAGTATTTCCAAGGTGCCCTTCACTCAAGATTTTCTCTAGTTTGTGTTTTAAAGCTAGTAACAGTTACTGATACTTGTTTAACAATTTTTTTAAGAATATATATTTATAGTTAACGCTTCATGTAAACAATCCTTTGTTGAAAAATGGACAAAAAAAACCTACGTATTTACTAATGGATAAAATATACAAGATTAATTTAGACAAAGCAGTAATTGGGATGTTATGTGGACGTAAAATGGATGTTATAACATGAGGTCATTATATTAGTAATGGACAAAAATAGACTAAATATTGACTTATGGATTTAGAAGACTTATGGATACTAGATTAATTTAGACAAAGTAGCAATTTATTTTATCTCAATATATATACAAAAGAACAATTAAAAAATACTTGATATGGGAAAAATGCATAAAAAATAATAATTCAATGATACGGGATAACTATTTTTGATAAATAACATATGTCAAGATAATTGTAAAAGTCACAAGCTTTTACTGGAAAATGAACCACCCAAGATATTTATTAACGTTTTACAAAAATAATATACAAAATTTTCGAACAAGAAAAATACGTTTGATAAATTTACTGAACTCTTTGAAAAGAAATTTTTACAGATTGTGAATGCATTCTTCTAACCAATTGAATTCAGGATTTCAATCAATTAAATACCAGATTCTTATATTCGTTCCAGAATTTCTGCACATAGGTGCAATAGGCACTTTTGATTATCACAGTAAAGTTATCGATGTTCCACAACTTTTAATCCATAAATCATGATCACAACAGTAAGAATCTAGGAAATCATGCCACTTTTCTTTTATTCAAAGGAAATAGATGCTTCTGTACCATAACATCAACGGAAATAATGTTTAAAAAATTTCTTTAAAGCTTTTGCACAAGCAAATACCAATATTTTGTGTGCCATAATGGAATGAACGGCTCAGTGCATGTTTTAATGGGCGTTAAAATAACATTGCACCTATCGAATGATTAACAGTACCTTATGCGTTGGTTGTTTATAATGGAAGGCTTGCCATAAGGAGGCATACTGAAGAGTTTATACTTTATTTACATACATAAAAAACCTTATAATCCCATAAAATTTAACTAAACTTTCCCTGCTACACATTACTTTCACAGTGAATAATATAAAAAAAATAAAAGTAAAATTAAATTGTTTTTTAAGCAGGAAAGTCATCAATGCTCCAGAAGAAAAAAACAGTAACACTCAGGGTTAAACACTATAAACTTCTTCTATATCGAAAAATCTGTTGCAAATATTATTAACACAGTGTTAAACCAAGTTATTTGAGTATTTTTATTATCTATTTAACCGTTCAACCATTGAGTTCATGAGTAACATTGTGATGAAATCATCCCATAAATCATTACTTTTTAATTAAGTAACAGTTTTTTGATAAAGGAGACCTTGCAAAATAAAAGCTTGGGCTACAACTTAAAAGATTAAATAAAAGAATAACTTTGGAAAAAATTTGCCCGCATCTAAGTCAAAAACAAAAACTTAAGAACTACTTAGACTTACAGGCTGGGCAGCTCCGAGGAGCAAGGCACATTGACCAGAACAGACCTTACTTAGAAGGATTTTCTTTCCACACATAATTTTTTCCATCTTAATGAAGGAAATAAATCACTATAAAAAGTTTTAATCAAAGATTTTTTTAAAATAAACTATAAAAAGAACATATATTAAATGTTCATTACAGCAAGAAATGCCTTCAGAAAATGAAATGAAAAAGTATGTTAACTAAATGAACTACAAACCTAAATCTTGACCATGTGCTCGTTCATTGCCCTGCAGGTACAAAAGAGAATATCCTGTCCACATTGGTGGAGCATTGAATGGACACTCTGGAATATCACTAGTTTGACTATGCCTAGTGAAAAAGTAACCACGAGAGGCTGCTGCTTTGCCTGGTAATCCAGGGAGTCCTGCATCACCTGTTGCTCCACTTACTCCTGCTAGGCCTTCCAACCCTGGAAAAAATAACAGAAGCAATTTTAAGATTTTCATTTAACAATGTAATGAAAAATAATATTTATTTTAATTATGTTGGGTTTAGAACTTCATACCATTAAATCCAGGTTCTCCAGACATTCCTTTGTTGCCAGGAAAACCTGCAAGTCCATCAAAACCAGGTAGTCCAGGATTTCCTGGGAGTCCTTGAAGACCATCAATACCAGGATCACCCATCGGACCTCTTTCTCCAGGAAATCCAGGCAAACCAGGTCTTCCTGGATCACCCCTGTCTCCAAATATTTGTGTTATCTTTTCAGGAGCATATGCATCACCAGGAATACCTTTTAATCCTGAAATGCAAAGAAATCATAATTCAAATCTTATTAATAAATAGGAAATAAGAAATTACAATAACAATTTAATATAAATTATTCTAATCAATGGCAATGATTGGTGTAAAGATTTATTAGGAAAATATAAAGAGGAAATTCTTGCTGCTGGAATGAATTTAAAAAAAAAGAACTCTTTAATTAGGCAAGCTAAAGTGATTTTTTTAGCATTCTTTGTTTTTAATGATACACTTGTCTTTCCTTCTTGCTCCCGTGAAAATGACAGGGCGAGTTTTTGCCCTCTTTTTCTCACTCCCATGAAATTTTCGGGCTGGAGTGTTCAGTAGTAATGCATCAATAAGAATAAAACTAATTTATTTCTTTTGCCGGAAAACATTTTATTTCTCATTTTACATAACAGATGGCAGTACCAGGATATTTTTAAGGTAATTGTAGATAGTTAGTTTATTTCAAACTAGATGTTAAAAAAAGAGGCACTTTTATTACCATTTTCCTGAAAATTAAATCATCGTTAAGGGGTTAAGATTTAAAGTCAGGTAATTTTAAAAAAAAATTAAAATACTCAATATTTAGATAAGTTAAAAATCAAAACCTTAACTATAACACAGCATTTTAAAGATTAAACTGCATCACATTCTTCACAAATATGAACTAAACTTTATAAGATGAAAGAGCATTACTAGCTGGCAAATTTTAAGTTTAAAGCTTGCACCATAAAAAATTTAAAATTTCATAGTAAACTTTCAAATCAAATAAATGCTGTTTTAAGCTAACCTTTTTGTTAAAAAAATAATAAAACAAATAAAAATATGGACATAATTAAATAATTGTATGAGTTTTTTCTCATAAAATAAAAGTTTCTGTTTTCAAGAACTAATTTTTTTAGAGAAAATTTTAATTGACAATTCTACAAAACAAATACAATAATTTAAATACCTGTTTATAATAGAAGCAGCAGTTTTATAATAATTAGAAAAACCCAATTTCATTAGTTCAAGTACATTGTTATAGTTAAAACTTGTGAAACACAATTTTTAAAAAAAATAAATGTTGGCTCGAAACTTGAAAGCCATTTAAAAAACAATTAGCTACAATAAAAAATATTCTAATTAATTTCCTTAACTAATTTCCCAATTTTTTCAGTATAATATCAATTCAAATAGCTATAAATAATTCAATAATAAAAAATTTTATAAGTATTAATTATTTAAAAATTTAACAAATTTGTTGCAGAAATTAGTCTGGTTTCCATTATTTGGAAAAAAGTATGATCGAAATTCATAAATAAAAGAATTCAAAAATAAAATAATGAATAGAAATAAAGTAATATTACTTATCCTTAATTATCAGATTAAATAATATTTTCAAACAGTATTATTTTATAACAGTATTTTGTTAAAATTTATAAATTATTCAAATTTTTTGATGCTTGCATTAATTTTGTTCACTTTCAATATAATGATCTATTGATGCCCACTTTCATTAGAATAACAGCGGTCATTTTATTTGGAGTTGGTTGCAAATATTTTAAAATTTCAGCATGCAAGCAAAAATTAATTTTCCAACAATCAATTTAAAATTTTTTAATGAAGACAGTAAAAATTAAAACTGTATTTTAAATATACATCTCCATACAGAAAAAAAATGCGTAAAATAAAAAAATAAATATGAATATTATACCTGGGAAACCTGGCTGTCCTCTACGTCCACTCAAACCAGGTAATCCAGGATCCCCTTGCAGTCCTTTTGAGCCAGGATATCCAGATAAGCCAGGTAATCCTCTTTCTCCTTTGGGCCCAACATTTCCAGGAAAACCATCCAAACCCTAAAAATTGATTAGATCAGGAGTATAAGTACTGTATAACAGAAATGAAAAATAAAATATAATGAAAAATAAAAACTTAATCAACCCAACCTATAAATCATGTCAGCAAAAAGATCAAATGAAAAGGTAAGAGTTACTGTAACAGATATTTAATACTTTTATCTCATATGATAAACTATTTAAAAGTCCCCTTTTAAAACTATTGAAAAATATTGCTTTCTAAGAGTTAAATTGATAATGAAAAACACAAATTTAAGCAACCTATAAAACGCAGAGTAAAAAGATAAAATTAAAAGTTCAGAGTCATTTTTACAGATATCCAATATTTTTTTATCATATATGATAAACTATATAAAAGTCTCTTTTTAATATAAAAATCATTGGTTTCAAAGAGATAAATTAAGAAAATTATGACAAAATACGATTAACCTATAAAATGTGTCAGCAAAAAGATTGCATATTTGGAAGTCAAAGTGCAATTGATAATTATTTATAATGAAAAATAAAAATTTAAGCAACCTATAAAACACATGAGTAAAAAGATCAAATGAAAAGATCAGAGCCATTTTTACAGATATTCAATATTTTTTATCATATATGATAAACTACAGAAAGTCTATTTTTATTATAAAAATCATTGGTTTCAAAGAGATAAATTAAGGAACTTATGACAAAATATGATTAACCTATAAAACGAGTCAGCAAAAAGATTGCATATTTGGAAGTCAAAATATAAAGTTAAAAAACTAGTACTAACTGGCAAACCAACAGGACCTCTTTCTCCAGGTGAGGCTATTCCTGGTAATCCTCGATCTCCAGGAATGCCAGGTAATCCAGGAAGACCTTCATCACCTCGTTGACCTGGAAGCCCTAACATTCCAGGTAAACCTGATCAAAAATTACAAGAACATCAGAAATCAGCATATTCTAAGACTAAATATATTAAAGCTAAAATTTAGAATTTTCTTTTATATCGCTTTACAAATATCAAATTAAAAATAAGCTCCCATTAAAATAATTATTTATTTTTATTTGAACAAGTAAAAAATGAGGCAAAAAGTCACTGAATACATTATTAATAAAAACAATTTTTCATAAAAATAATTAAATACTGTCAATCGGGGATAATATAAGCATTTGTTGTCGAATCTGGGTCAAAATAAAAAAATAACATATTGTATGTTTTCCTTCTGTTTATAATTTCTGGATAAAAAAATTTAAAAAAAACAGAACATTCAATGTATATTAAAATTAAAATTTTAGAAAATTAAAACTGTGTGCCACATGCCATTGAATAAGGTTCTTATAAGGCACAACTTTTACTTAATGTTTAAAAAAAAATTATCTCTTAATCCTTTTTATTTTATTTTATTTTTTTTTAAATCCACATATATTTATTTACACTTTCATTAAAAGTAAATCTTCTACGTCACAATTTAAATGATAAATGTTTCAGAAAAAATGTTCAGCCTTACATGGAATTATTCTTTAGTTATGTTCACACATCACTACTTAGTAAATTTCCATAATTTTTAACAAGATAACAACATAATGTACAGAAACAATTTATTTCTTAAACAAAAATCCTCGTAATTTTCACCAACAATGCAATAAAAAATACTTTTATGAATAATTTAAAAAATGTGACTTATCATTACATTGGATTGAACCTTTTACGAACACTAAATGCATATCACAGTAAGATTTATAATAATAAAGAGCTTCAACTTCACTTGTATTAGAAATATTGTATTCAATGAAAAAAGAATTTGCAAAAATAAATAATTTCATAAAATGAGAGTTACCTGGTGGACCGATTGGGCCAGGGCTGCCTCTTTCTCCCTTAATTCCTGGAGTTCCAAATCCTGGATAGCCTTTTATGCCTGGAAATCCTGGTAAACCAGGCTCTCCAGCTTCACCTTTCCTACCTGATAATCCAGGAAATCCTGGCAGTCCAGCCAATCCTTCATCTCCTGGCAAACCCTTTTCCTCTAGAATAATACAAGAATATTAATTGAAATTTGAACTACAGGGATTAATTTTAAAAAGAAATTCAAATCTAAATTACACCTATCTGTTATAAATTTACCTCCAAAGCCAGGTATACCTTCATCACCAGGTAATCCAGGAATACCCTCATACCCTAAAAGAGACAAAGAAGAAATAATTTTTTTTTAAAAAAAAAGAAATGTATTGAACTAAAACTATAATGCAAAAAATTATGAATATTTGAATATAAATTTCAATATATTGTATAATTTTTCAGAAATTTTGAATAATTGTATGCATTTAAACTTAGCTGTAAAATTATATTTTACAGAAAATAAAAGGCCTTAGATATAAATACAAATTTTTATTAAATTATATCTTAATCTGATTCAATTAAATAAAAAAAAATTTCTTAAATGCATTGATGTGATTGGGAGTTTCGAATTTCCGTCCTTAATTCTTCAGAAAAGATTTTTATTAATTTTAGGAGAAATTTAGAAAGGCAACAGCTTTACTCTACCTAAATGGTCTGTTTTATTTTTTATAATTATATTTATTTAATTTATTATTATATATTAATAAAAACATATAAATAATGATAAAAATAAGATATTTTATAATTATTTTTGTTTTATTTTATTATTATTTACAAATAAAAACAATTAAGTAAAATTAACAATTAAAATAAATTTTGGAGTAAGACGAGTATAATTTTGCGAAAAATGCCTGGTCAGAAAAAAACAAGTTTAAAGCTTTTTGTACAAACATCAGTATATCAGAGGAAGATGGAGCAGCTATCACATCACTGAAAATGGCATGTATACCCCAACTGTTTAAGTTGATTTAAAAAAAGCTTTGTTTTTCTCACCCATTATCTAAATGCTTTTTTTACTGTTTCAAAAGTGAAACAAAACAACTAATGTCGAATTAGAAATTTATTTTCTAACTTATTACATTCAAATATTTTCACCAAAGACATAATTAATGCAAATTACAATGTAGAGAAATTTAATGAAACCTAGAAGCTGTACTGCATTTTTCCTTTTCTAATATAACTACAAAATTTCATAATAAACTAAAATAAGTCTGAAATTATATATTTAGGTAACAAGGTATTAGCATTTATATTCTGCACACCTCTCAAAAAGTTCATATTGCTCCTTGCATTTATTACCTTTAGGGCCAGGACTGCCAGGACTTCCAGGTCTTCCATCAAAACCAGGCTCACCACGCTCTCCTTTTAAACCAGGAATACCTGGAAATCCATCTTCTCCTCTGATTCCAGGCAAACCATTTATTCCCGGTAGACCTGGCTCACCTGATAATCCTTTACTCTCAGTTCTTGAGGCTAAACCTAGAATAAAAATTTTTAATAATATTAAAATTTTAATAAAAGGATGAATATTTTATTGAATTAATAACTATAAAAACTGTTTTATATAAAGAAACAAACTAAGAATAAAAAACCTTGTATTTTTACAATAATATTCAAGATAAGGTAATAGGTAAATTATATATGGGTAATAGGTAAATTATATAGTGAACATTTAAAACTAATTCAAGACATTATAAGTAATCCAAGACTAGGATAAATTATAACCCGCTGTCATTAGATATTATGAAGAATGATGCATTTTATTTTAAACAAGTTATATGTTATACATCTTGTGTAAACATAGTGCTCTTAGTCTATTTTTATTCTTTGAATAAAAACAACCAGAAATGCATAATAGAATGTTTAAGAATACTAGCGAAAGATCATTAATGATTAATCTAAAATATGAAATAATTTTTTAGTTGAAATTATCAAGCTATGCTTCATACAACGAACTATAGTTTTAATCAATATCTTTGTTCAAAAAATTCACTTAAAAAAGATATACCTTTAGGACCAATATCTCCTCTTTCTCCTTTGATTCCTGGAAATCCATCAGGTCCAGGAAAACCAGAAAGACCTCTTTCACCCTTGGGACCAGGAAAACCAACAAGACCTTCAAGCCCAGTCTCACCCTAACATAATATATTACAAGATTAATTAGTTTGCAAGATCATAGTAATAATAGATTTTGTTTGAAATTCAATAACGCTGTCACATAAGTATTTTAACTACTATAAATAAAAGTAAGAAGCTAATGCCTTGAATTTGAGCATTAAAATGTATGCACTATTTGGAGGTTTTGACGTTTTTATTTTCGTTGTTCGTTTACAAGTATTGTATATTATAAAAAAAAATTATGTGATCACAGGCAGAGTTTGCTTCATGTATTCTTACTTTCAATCCTTGCAAGCCAGGTAGACCAGAATATCCTATTTCACCTTTCCTACCTGGAATACCAGGAATTCCATCAAGTCCAGGTTGTCCAGGAAGGCCAGGTAATCCTGGATCTCCTTTCACTCCATCAGATCCTAAATTTAAATAATTAATAGAATTAAATCATAGATTTTAAAAAATTTGATTTTTTATATTATGACAGCTATATATCAGAACTCATGCTTCAGAAAAAGTTATGTAGAATTCATACATTAAATATTTAATTTTTTTAAAATGATATATTGTTGTATAAAATACATGAAATGTTGAAAAAAATATTGTAATATAAAATATAGTTAAGGAAGAAATATTTACTAACTCATGAAATTTCTCATCACTCATATCTTGATTATCGTCTGTCTCCATTTAGCAAAAGACGAAAATTCGACAAGGTTTATGTTGATGCCAAAATTATAAAATGATTTGATTTATTTCAAAATTTAATATGAATGAATTTTAAATACATTTTTATAATTTATTTTGAATTTTTTCGTATTTAATTATTTGAATTGCAAACTAACTTATTTCAGGGTTTATAACTATAATATTTTTATTTAAATTTCCTAATATAAATTTATAGTAGGATTTTATAATTTTTAAAAAAAATGGAAGATAATCAGGTCACGTACAATTTGACTTCTATGGCATTTATACAATCACTATCGCAAATCACTAAAAATTTCAAAGCTAAGCCAGTAATAACAATAAACCATTTGAGAAAAAAAAACCTAATTGAAATATTCAATTGCAGATTTTAGTTTTGAAACAGTATGTAACTTCATAATGTTGACATAAAATAATTATATAAGAGTAACTGCATAGCCAAAAACAATAGTCCAAACAAAAAACTGATTTACATAGAAATCATAACTACCATAGCAAAGGAATAAATGCAGCAAAAACATTAATTTGTAAAAGTGCTAATATTTATTTGTTTTTAACATCAATGTTAGTTACAAGATTGTAATTATGCCAGAATAAAAGTGTACTTTTATAGGAAATTGAACAGTAGCTTATAAAAAATTTAAAAATTTATTTATGTATTTTATTTGAATAGTAAAAACAATAAGATCATATAATCCATAGCTCATTATAATTCATAACTCTCATAAAAAATCCCCCTTACAAATACTTGCTCAAAACATAAGAAACCAAAAATATAGAAACATTTTATTACACTTACCTGGAAAACCCATATCACCCATTCCACCTTTAAGACCAGGTAAACCAGCAGGCCCAGGATAGCCTTTAGGTCCTGGGAAACCTTGAAGTCCTTGATCAGAATTTAAAGCACGGCCAGGATTACCTTGCACTCCTTTAGGTCCTGGAAGGCCAGGCAAGCCTGGTCTACCAGGTGAGCCAGTTAAGCCTACGATACAAAAAACAAAAAAAATAGCACATTAATAATTATCCGTAACTTGAGATACAGAGTGAGAAAAGAATAATCATAAGATATTTTATGTAATAAAATCATTTTTTGAACAATATTAAAGATATGTTATTAAAAAGAAAATTTACATTGCAAAATATAACACAAGGCAACAATTTTTAAAATAGCATACCAGTTAATATTTATATTGTAAAACAAAGAAATTTTATGTCACTGAATAGATGCGTTTCTTCTTAGATTCTGATTACAATCTGCAAAACAGAGTTTTTTTTACACAGATGCTTAAGTCTGTTGTCACTAATTTTAAATTTTAACTTTGGCTCAAAATTAAACATTGCTATCAAATCTGGCAATTTTTACTAATTTATCTGCGTTTGGTATTACTCACTACTCTTACATCAGTCATTGTGAATCTAAAATTAAATGAGTCAAAAATTTTAAATGTACTAATTAGAAATTTATTTGGAAAACATTAATTGTTTTAGGCATAAAACTAAAATAAATAATGCCTTTTCGTCTAAAAATAATTGCAAAAATAGTATACTTTAGCCAAAATACCTTATCTAATATCTAAGTAAATATAAAGATATTAGCAAAATAATAAAAGTAAAATTATAAAATGAAAATTTAAAAGTAAGTAAATTTTGTTGAATATTTCATTTTAAGTATACAACAGAAAGTGAGTAGAATTATCTATAAAATAAGCATTATTCCAGATTTAACACTAAATTTAAAACCATATGGTATTCCAAAACCAAATATCACTGCCAAAAACAGTTTATTTTAATAACGTCTATTTCTGTTTATCATGAAATGCCTAAACAATAGGTATTTATTGATAAATAAGAGCAAAGGTTCGAGAAGTTTATTTATCATTAGTTATTTGCGTAAAATAATTTCATACATTCTACATTTTATCTTATATACAATTTTAAATCAATGTTTTAATGCAAAAAAATAAATAAATAATAAAGCTCAAAAATTTTCCAGAAAATACATAGATAAAGTTTTATCTTGCTTTAAATTTCACCTTCTCACAAAGCTTATTCGGGATGAAAAAAAATCTTTCAAAACTATTTGACTTATTTTTCTCACCTACTTGAAAAAAGAGTTGCATAACCAAGCAATTTTGTTAGAAATATGCATTACTTTCACAGACTATTACTAAAATGTTTCAACTTGTTAATATAAACAATAACTTGCTAATAGTTAATATAAACAATAACTTGCCAATGGCATAATAATTGTATAAAATAAAATTTAACCTCAAGAAACAAAACATGTTTATGCTTTGTCTATTGAGGTTATAAAATTATTAATATACCTAAAATATAAAATTATTAATATACCTGTAAGGCCATTATCTCCTGGTTCTCCTTTGTCACTGAAAAATGATGGTTCTCCTTTAGGCCCCGCAAATCCTGGAAGACCACGATCCCCGGGTAAACCTGGTAGGCCACCTAAACCAGGTCTTCCTGAAAGTCCAGGAAATCCAACTTCACCAACTTCTCCTGGAAATTTAGATCAAATGATGAACTTAGAAGTTAGGTAAGATATTTAAATTAAACATAAAATTGCAGTGATTTTGAAATTATAACTTAATAAAATCTAACTTAACTAAAATCTAACTTAACACATTTCTGTCCAAAAAAAGTATATTGGAACAAAATACAATTTGATAGATGATTTGTTATTTATAAAAAAAATTATTTAAAAGCATAAAGAATTAGATAGAAAAAAGAATAATAAAAATCAATTATTATATTTTTTAACTAATACTTTAAGAACAAAAGAAAAGGAAAAGCATTTTAAAGAAGAAAATGAATAAAATACATATATTACAAAAAAAAATTGTCAAACTTCTATAGCATTGCCCGTGAAAAATTATTTTACAAAAAAAACTTTGAATTTACCAATGCATTTTGTTTAAAATTTTGTGTTCAATGCAGAGAAAGCAAAATAAACTTTATGCAATGCTACTTTGCTTTAAAACTTATGCTAAAAGTAATATCAATTTATAAGTATCAATTATAAGTAAGGAACAATTATAATTATAATTCAGTATCAATTATAATAATCAAAAGTATCAATTTATAATTTAGGAACTTATTTCATCGAAAACTTCAGAATCAGAATGACTGCATGTGATAAACCATGTTTTAATTTTTAAAAAAATTAATGATTATAATAAAGTATCAATTATTACCATAAGTAAGTATCAATTTATAACTAAGGAACTCACTCCATCGAAAACTTCAAAATCAGAATAACTGCATATGATAAACCATGCTTTAATTACAAAAAACAATAAGTCACCAGATAAATAAGTGAATGAATTAAGGATACCTTTCCTTCCAATTGGTCCAGGTAAACCTGATTGGCCTGATGAACCTTGTCGTCCTGGAGTTCCCATATCACCCATTTCTCCTTTGAGACCTAAAACAATAGAGCAAATAGAAAAAAAAAAAGAAATTAAAAAATAATAATAATAAATATAATGTCAAATAGTAATAAATACTTAGTTTTGACTGAATCCCTGACCATCCCAAATTTTCTTAAATATGAGAAACCCTTACTTTTACATTTTCTTAAAGGAAAAAAAAAAATTTAATTAGTTTTTAAACATCGCGGAACACACAAACTGTTTTTCTACTAAAGTGTGGAACTTTCCTTAGTAATTCACACTGTCAGAAAAGAGTAGTATTAAGTAAGAAAAATAACATAATTTTAAATAGATAATTTTAAATGAATGTAACGTTTTTAGAACCAATTTTTAATTAAATTTTATTTTTAAATAATGTAAGGCATGCTATGAAGTAGTTTTAATAAGTCGTAGGAAAAAGAAGAAAAAACTTCTATAACTAGTATAAATAAGTAATTTCTCAAGTTTTTTTTTCTTCATTTCCTTTTCTTTTTTTACAAATTTATAACATAATTAGTAAAAACAGTTCATAAGGAACTTTGAACTTTAATAAATCACACTAAAAGTTAAACAGAGCAATTCTATTTATTTATCCTGGTACAAAAATTAGTAAAATCATCAATAAAAATTATAGGTCATTTATTCAAGTAACTTTCAGTTTTATTTTATCAAAAGAGCTAATAATAAAAAAAACATTAAAATGTCAAACACAGCAAGTCAGTAAAATCTCGAACATAATAAGAAAATATATTTAAAAAGATTTGCATTATGCAGAAAATAAAATAAAGAAGCAGATTTGAGGCCTTAAATATTTAACTTAGTTACAATTTTCGCTTTTTATGACAATAAAGGCAAACTTAAAAACAAACAAACTCTCTTTCTAACATATCTTTTGGAATTGGATATATGCAAAATACAGAAGGAAAAAAAAACAGTCATCTAATTTTTAACTTCACAAATTGGTTATCTAATTTATTCGACTGTATACTTTACTTAAGTAAAATATACTTAAGTATAATGTACTTAATAATATTTCCTTACAATGCAGATTATATCAAAAGGTAACAAAATTTTAACATTATTATTTATTTATATTTTCTATTCTCAAAAGTTTTTAAAAGTAATTTTAGTATAAAAAAGTTCAAACGAGTTAAAAGTAGGAAAAAAAGTTGGGGAAGAAAGGAGAAATAATCAAAATTTTTTAGTAAAAAGTCTCAATTTCAAGTTTTTTCAGGTGAAATTTGAAACTCACAGAACTAATTTGCATTTATTCATGAAATATGCACAAAACAAGAGCTATAATTACCAGGTAGTCCAGGTAAACCATCTTTGCCAGCGAATCCAGGTTGTCCTGGACGTCCTGATTGTCCATCTGGTCCTCTCAAGCCAGCTGCACCTTCATCTCCTCTCATTCCTTTTATACCTGGTAATCCTGGCAATCCATCAAGTCCAGGTGCACCTTTGTCTCCAAGTGGTCCTGTCAAAAGAAAGGAATAAATAAAAACAAAATTCAGAAATAAATCTGGTATATTTGAACTAAACTATATAGTGAATATTGATGAAAAATAAATGTAGATGTAATGCATAGCCTTATTTTGTGATAACTAAAGTTGATATTTCTAGATATTGTATAGAAGTTGTAAATTAATAGAATATAAAAAAATAATAAAATCCTCATATCTAATCAAATTAAAAATAACCGGCTACAATTGTTATATGTTAATGTTGTGAATCAGCTAACAATTCTTCTTTAAGATTAAAAAAAAGTGATCTTATGATCATTACAATTTAAAATAATAACAATACAAAATATTTTTAATTCGTATTTCATTGCTGACAATTTTTAGAGTTTTCTGAAAATAATTAACTTTGATTTGAATAATTCAAAATTTACCTGATGGTGTAACGTTTTTGTTTCTAAACAATTATTAGCAAACATAAAAGTTGATGATACTCATTTACTTAAATTAATTTAAAAGTCTGTAAATAAAGTTAAAATCTTATATTAAAACTTTTGCATAAAAAACACTAAGGTTATTTCAATTTTTAGAAGAATTTTATCTGCAAAGTTACAAAAACCAGAATCTTTATCAGAAAACCAGCTAAATTAATTTACGTACATACAAAAAATTTTTAGTGAAAAATATTCAGCATTTAGGCAATCAAAATATGAAAAAAATATTCAAATACTGATTAAAAGTAATGATTCTTTTGAAAAAAAAGTATATTTACCCGGGTATCCTGGAAGTCCAGGCAATCCTGGATAACCTTTATTTCCAGGTCCAGCATCTCCAGGTTCTCCTTTTTCACCAGGAAATCCTGGAAGACCATCATATCCTGGTTCACCTAAGAATAAAGAAACAACAGATATCACAAGGGATGAATTGAGAAACAAAAAATAATTGCAATTTAAATTAAGAGTTTATGATATGGAGTTAAGTTCATTTGATTCAATATCAAATCAACTATTTTTTTCTATACTTGCAAACCCTTAAAAATAAAAGATTGCATTCCCATTCTCAATTCAACTATAAAAACTTGTATTAATTCAATTTTACAATATTTTTAAGTATCACTTTGACAATTAAATTATAATAAAAAAATATCCGAGTTGGCATGCCACTTACAATAATGATAAAAAGTGTAATTTAAAATTAGTTAATAATATAGAAAACTTATGCTTTTTATTTCCCTCTTTTTATCAGATTAACTAGATTAAAGTATATTTGTATCTAAAAGGAAATATAAACTAAGTGCAACTCCCCAATTAAATTGAATATTCTAACATAATTATAGAGGGTGAAAAGTCATTTGTTAAATAATTTTTGTCTATTTTAAAGTAGTTACAATATGGTAGGTCACTTAAAACTTTATTTCTGCTCCAGACATGACACCAATTTTCTTTTGTTGAAATTCAAAAGCAGTGAGTATAGGTTTCTCTAATTTAAGTATATTTATGATTCAGATGGTATTGATAAGAAGAGTTATTTTATCTAATGTAGCTCAGAGTTATTCTGTATGAATAACATTCTGTGATTGGTTGAGGGCCAGAGTTTACCAAAAAGAAAAAAAAGTATCCTCATATGCTTAATATGGAGAGATCTACAAGGTATCTTTATACAGTTGTTTTTAAAAATCATTACTCACATACCATTTTTATTAAATAAAAAATTAATCTTAACTATTCAAAGTATCAATCATGAAATAACCTTGTAATTTGTGAAATATTAGCTTTTAAAAACCCATGAGACCAATATTTGTCACTTTTATCAGGCTATTTTTGCTATTATATGCAAAATCAAAAATTTATTTATAGATGAAATGTTAGTATTCCTATTAAAAAATTATTTATACTAGAAAAAAATTTTCAAACTGAAAATAAAGTTATATTTTTGTATTCAAAGAGTCGAATCAGCTCAACAATAACTTTGACAACTCAGCTATAGTTAGGGTGTCCTTTAGACGGGCAATATAGCAAAATGCAGCTTGATACAGTTACCCTGATTTTGATGTAGAATTAAAAAAGGAAGCTTCTCTAAGTGTGGTAACTAATTCCAATATCTTACTTTTTTGAAAATTTAGAAGCTGCTTGTTGCAACTACTCTCTATCTATATGTTAGATACAGGGACTCTATTTACAAGAAATAAGCAAAACTAGTTTTCGAATTTTGCTCAATTTAGGAGTTTACAACAGAAACTTAATGCTAATCGAGTTCTAATCTTTTAGAAGTGAGTCGAGATAATGTTAGATTATATGTTCAAACATTTAATATAATTCGAAAATAAAAATAAAAATTATAAATATTTGTAGCCAGATTAGAAAATTTAATTAAAGTAACTATAAAAAAATTACGTTTTTACATGTAGAATCATAATTTGAAAAAATTAAATTACAATAATACTATCATCGTAATATAAAATCATTGAACCTTTTTGCCCTTCTAGTCCTGCACTTCCAGATTCTCCAGGAAAACCTACTCTGCCAATAGTTCCACTTTCTCCAATTTCTCCTTTCAATCCAACTATTCCTGGATATCCTGATGGTCCCTCATATCCATCAATACCAACTTCACCCTGATCACCCTAAAGTAATTAAAATATTTGATCACTCAGAAATAATATGCTTTAACTGAAAAAATTTATAATTTCAGAAACATAAAAATCAATAATTAAAAATATACTTAAAAGTATTCTCAAAAATGATTATTATTACTTTGAATATAATCGACTACAGCTTAATTTGAAATGTTCATTTTTATCAGCAATATTTTTAACTAAGTTAAATTTTAGTAAAAATTTTAGAACAAGTTAGTTGAATTATTTAAACAATTTAATCTAGTTTACTTTTTTGTTTATATATCAGTATTAGGTTTTAGAGGTGTATGTAGTTAATTATATTTAGAGGTCTAACATAGCGAGCCTCCTAGTGGTGCACTCAGGAAATGCTAAATTTGCACGGTGAACCTTTGAAGGAACAGGATTGTCTTTGTGCTCATCTTTTTCATTCATTTAAATATTGTTGACTCTCCTGCATGTTCTGATTGTATCAGTGGCAAGGATATGACCTCTGTACTTGTACGAGTGCCTTATATTATTTGTTTGTACAAGTTATCTGTACGAGTGCCTATATTAGCTTATATTATTGTTATTATATTTAGTGCCTTATCTTATCTTCAGTCAAGTGGTAAAGTATTGGTAAGCCATGGTCCAGTGGTCAAATAACTGGTATTTGATAAAAAAAAAATATTTAAGGTCCAATTTGAATGCCCTCACACTTCAATTTTTAGATCATTAGCACACAGTTTTGAAAACATTTGATACATTATAAATTTGTTGTGGTTTCAATATAGAAATTCAACTTATGTAAGAACATTTAAAAAAAAANAACTTCACCTTGATCACCCTAAAGTAATTAAAATATTTGATCACCCAGAAATAATCTATTTTAACTGAAAAATTTTATAATTTCAAAAACGTAAAAATCAATAATTAAAAATATACTTAAAAGTATTCTGAAAAATGATTATTATTACTTTGAATATAATCGACTACAGCTTAATTTGAAATGTTCATTTTTATCAGCAATATTTTTAACTAAGTTAAATTTTAGTAAAAATTTTAGAACAAAATAGTTGAATTATTTAAACAATTTAATCTAGTTCATTTTTTTGTTTATATATCAGTATTAGGTTTTAGAGGTGCATGTAGTTAATTATATTTAGAGGTCTAACATAGCGAGCCTCCTAGTGGTGCACTCAGGATAATGTTAAATTTGCACGGTGAACCTTTGAAGAACCAGGATTGTTTTTGTGCTCATCTTTTTCATTCATTTAAATATTGTTGACTCTCCTGCATGTTTTTCTTGTATGAGTGGCAAGGATATGACCTCTGTACTTGTACAAGTGCCTTATATTATCTGTTTTCTTCAGTCAAGTGGAGAAGTATTGGTCCGCCGTGGTCTAGTGATCAAATAACTGGTATTTGATAAATAAATATTTAAGGTTCAATTTGAATGCCCTCACACTTCAACTTTAATTTTTAGATCATTAGCACATAGTTTTGAAAACATCTGATACATTATAAATTTGTTGTGGTTTCAATAAAGAAATTCAATTTATGTAAGAACATTCAAAAAAAATATTTTTAACTGACAATTTAAAACAGTGATTTCTAAATAACTTGGATTGATTGCGCAATTTTTTATTTTAAACATCTGCTATCTTTGTTTTAAACAAAGAACACTTCGTGAAATAACTGCAAAATTGCCAATGTTTTTAAAGTGAATTGTTTCACAATACTCTGCTTAGAAATTATGGATCACCAAACTGAATAGCACATATGTTACATACATATTTAATTTTCTTAAAATTTTCAAGAACTATTTAAATTTTTTAATTCTATTTTTTAAAGGATTGGCAATCAACATTTTTAACTAGCAATTCAAAAGAGAAAAAAGTTTTCAAAAATAAACTTAACTGAATTTGCATATTTATACCGCTTAAAAATTTTATATTTTGAACATAAGGAAGTAAACAGTAAACAGGACACACAAAAAATAATATATAAACTATACCTTTGGTCCTGGAAGACCAAACAAACCATCTTCACCACGTCTTCCTTTAGATCCTCTAAGGCCCTCTCTACCAGAATCGCCAGGCAATCCAGGGTAGCCTTTTAAGCCTGGTTCTCCTCTTTGAGAAGAGCCTGGATACCCCGAATCTCCTTTCTTCCCAGGCATACCAGGCAATCCCTCAAGGCCAGGTGCACCAGGCTTGCCTAATTAAATTAATAGAATTAAAATTATAAATTTTTTTCTGTTCAAAAATACTGATTCAAGATATTCTGATGGCCAAGATACAGGTGTAATGCTGCTATAATCAGTCAACATGTACCAGAAACGAGAAACTCAAACTTGCTAAAGTCACAAATGACCACACAGAATATTAAGGTCAAGCAGAGTTGGGCAAAAATGTATCTGATTACAAATAAGCAATTATTTGCAACCATGTTTTCTCTTGAATCAAAAAAAAAAAAAAAAAAAAAAAAAAAAAAAAAAAAAAAAATCAGATAGTTTGATGAACATTGAGAAAATTAGTAAATCATCAGTTACAGGCAAAAATAAGGGTAAGGAAATAAGAAATTTATCAATAATTAGAACAATCTGAAATATTTTCATTCAATAGTTCAGCAATGCTAAATATTTTCTTCAACCTGTATAGAATGCAAGTGTAGAATGAATTTCTGCAGGATATAATACATACACTACACAATAATATTGAAGTAACAAGAGACCATGATAATTCAAATTTACAAAATCTTTATTCTACAATATTAAATACTAATGCATAGAATGGAGCATTTGCTGGTTTCTCGGTTGATAATCTAAAGAAGTGTATCCAATTTCAAAGCAATTAACATTTTACAAGCATATTCTTTAAAGTTTATTTAAATTCAAAATTGTGAATTACAATGCTAAAATAGCTGATGCTAGTACAAATATCTGTTATCTAGCATTAGAAGTTATTCGATACACAATAAAATTTCTAAATAACTTGCTTACATGGAATCAAATCTGAAATAATTTTTTTTATAAATCGAAAGCGAAAATTCAATTTCAAAGCATAATGGTATATATAAAGTCTTACTTAATAAATGGTTTAGTTAAAAGCATTAAAAATAAAGAATTAGGTTTGCAATGACTATAAATAACAGCATAAATTCATGCGTAGAATAAGTACTAAGAAATAACAGTGCTACTACCTTCAAGTCCAGGACGGCCAGGTATACCAGGAGCACCTGATGGACCAGCAGGACCTTGTATTCCTTTATACTGCTTCAGAAAATCGTAGGCATATGGTTCTCCCTTCTCACCTTTCAATAAATAAATAAAAAAGTTAATAAAAAATAAATTTTTTTAATTTGTACAATATATTTTATAACAACTGATACACATATACAAAACATGCTATTATGTTAACAAGATCCCGTGAAAAACTACAAGTAAGCAGTCAAACATGAACATGTTTGATTATAAATTTTACCAACATATAAATAAACTAACTGGTTCCACCCTCAGCTTATTATGCTCATCAACCTCCTAACAGCGATTCAGGCAGAGAGGTCAGCTTATTTTTGGTAACTTTGCAACTAAAGTTTGTTTTGTTAGCTCCAAAGGCGGTGCCAGACTTTGCCCAACAGGGGATAAAGCCTTTTCTGACAGGGGGCACAAACAAATGAATTCAAAATATTTAAATTAAACTGCATTTTACACTTCATACTTTTCTCACATCATTTTTTTCAAAAGCATGCTTCTAAGAAGTAAAAATCAATAATTTTAGTAATATCAGGGGTAATTGTGAGCCCAAGTCAAAATTCCGGAAAATTTCTTGAGTTAAAAAAAAAAGTAGTTTAAATTGACAAATTAGAAAAAAAATTAAACAAGGTTCTTTTTCCTTTTTCTCAATATTTCTTAGTTTATTTAAAATATATTTAAAATTTTACATATACCTATACAATTTACACATACCTATGACCTGGAGAAGTAATTAAAATTTACAAATATGTCTTTCTTTCTTGAGTTTATAATTATAATAACTATTCACTGATAAAAAATGAATATTAATCATGAATATAAGCTTATAAAGTATCTGGGTCACCCTTACAAACAAATAAAATAAACTGTGTTTTTAAGTTCCACGTTTGAAAATTTAATTTCCGGCAACTTCTGTGATCATTGATTTTTTGAAACGTCTGGACTTCCAGATCACTGTTAGTAAAAAATCCGGAAATCCGGAATTTTTCCGGAGCACAATCAGCCCTGTAATATAATATGCAGATTAATTTTGAGGTAAATCTAAATCACATTTTTTCCCTATCATTTGTAATTTTGTTATACAACAAATTTTAAAAATAGGACTTTTTCGAAATTTGCTTCCTCAGGAACTATTCCACAGATTTAGTTAAAATTTTGTATTTTGCCATTTAAAAATGATGTAAACATATTGTACTTTATAATTCGAATATAAAATAAATACTAATAATAAATATTTACTAAGTAAAGATGCCCTGTGCGCAGTGCTGAATATATTCCCACAATCATGCCACTGATTGCAAAAGTGTTCTCATGGATTGACCACCATAATCTCCCTGGCCCACCACTGGCTGTAGCGGGAATGCTTTATTACACGCATATTTACAGATATTAATTTCTTTCTCATGCTAATGTTTGCTTAATTAATTGATGTTTCAGTTTTTCAATTTATAGTTGCCAACAAGAAGGAAAAAAATTCCTACAACAGGTGGTTAAGTCACAATAGACATAAATATGCATTGCATTAATGTTTCATATAATATACATAATACTATTTTACACATATGAAATAAAGTATTGTGATTAAATAAAGCATTTCACAACTGAACCATATAGAAAGTGCCCCTTAAAAATCATTTAAAGTAATCATTATCCATTGGAAAAATGCAAAAGAATGAAAAAAGTAGTAAAAAGAGTATGGATTTTATTTGGATAGATTTTTCTCAAATATGTTAAATAACACTGATTTTTGATTTCTTTTTTTAAAAAAAGTGAAATTAAAAAATTTTAAGAAAAATTTTAAAAAATTCATTAATTTATTACCGAATAATTCATGCATATATATAAAAAATAATGATATTCATCTAATTGCTAAATTAATTATCCACACCACCATACATAGCAAATGTACATAACATGCTAGTTCAGTTACCTTTTATTCCACTTATCCCAGGTAGTCCTTCAAGACCTGCTGATCCCCTTTCTCCTGGAAGACCAGGTAAACCATATTCATCATCTCCTCTTTCACCCTTCATTCCTGAAGCACCCGGTGAGCCTGGAATTCCATTAGGCCCTGGCTGACCAGGATCTCCATAAGCACCCTATGAAAAGTATGTTTAAGCCGACTCACATTCTGTAGATTGATATATTATAATTTATAAGCAAAAAATAGGAAACAAAGCAAGCTTATTTTAAATATCAGATTTCTCTAATTGACACCATGAAATAACTATCCCTTTTCCGATATTATAAATGTATTAGTGCTCACATTATCTTGCCCCAAAGAGCAAATGTTTGTTATTTAGTATGTTAAACTCACTTTTAAACATTTCATATAAAATAATGTCAAATTTTCATTTCATTGTTAACATAGATTTGNAATTTCTTGAGTTACACATACCTATACCATTTACACGTACCTAACATACCTATGATGACCTGGAAAAGTCATTAAAATTTACAAATATGTCTTTCTTTCTTGAGTTTATAATTATAATAACTATTCATTGATAAAAAATTAATATTAATTATGAATATAAGCTTATAAAGTATCTGGCTCTCCCTTACAAACAAATAAAATAAACTGTGTTTTTAAGTTCCACGTTTGAAAATTTAATTTCCGGAAACTTCTGTGATCAATGATTTTTTGAAACATCTGGACCTTCGATCTCCGGAAACTTCCAGATCACTGTTAGCAAAAAATCCGGATTTTTCCGGAGCACAATCAGCCCTGTAATATAATATGCAGATTAATTTTGAAGTAAATCTAAATCACATTCTTTCCCTATCATTTGTAATTTTGTTATACAACAAATTTTAAAAATACCACTTTTTTGAAATTTGCTTTCTCAAGAACTATTCCACAGATTTAGCTAAAATTTTGTATTTTGCCATTTAAAAATGATGCATTCTTTAAAATGATGTAAAAATTTTGTACTTTATAATTCGAATATAAAATAAATACTAATAATAAATATTTACTAAGTAAAGATGCCCTGTGTGCAGTGCTGAATATATTTCCACTGGTCGCAAAAGTGTTCTCATGGATTAACCACCATAATCTCCCTGACCCACGACTGACTGTAGCGGGAATGCTTTATTATACACATATTTATAGATATTGATTTCTTTTTTATGTTAATGTCTGTTCAATTGATTGATATTTCAGTTTTCAATTTGTAGTTGCCAACAAAAAAAAATTCCTACAACAGGTGGTTAGGTGCAATAGACATAAATATGCATTGATGTTTCATATAATATACATAATACTATTTTACACATATGAAGTAAAGCATTGCTTAAAAAAAGTATTCCACAACTGAACCATATAGAAAGTGCAGCTTAAAAATCAGTTAAAGTAATCATTATTTATTCGAAAAATGTAAAAGAATGAAAAAAGTAGTAAAAAGAGTATGGCTTTTATTTGGATAGATTTTTCTCAAATATGTTAAATAACGCTGATTTTTAGTTTCTTTTTTTAAAAAAAGTGAAATTAAAAACATTTTAAAAAATGCATTAATTTATTACCAAATAATTCATGCATATATATAAAAAAATAATGATATTCATCTAATTGCTAAATTAATTATCCACACCACCATACATAGCAAATGTACGTAACATGCTAGTTCAGTTACCTTTTATTCCACTTATCCCAGGTAGTCCTTCAAGACCTGCTGATCCCCTTTCTCCTGGAAGACCAGGTAAACCATATTCATCATCTCCTCTTTCACCCTTCATTCCTGAAGCACCCGGTGAGCCTGGAATTCCATTAGGCCCTGGCTGACCAGGATCTCCATAAGCACCCTATGAAAAGTATGTTTAAGCCGACTCACATTCTGTAGATTGATATATTATAATTTATAAGCAAAAAATAGGAAACAAAGCAAGCTTATTTTAAATATCAGATTTCTCTAATTGACACCATGAAATAACTATCCCTTTTCCGATATTATAAATGTATTAGTGCTCACATTATCTTGCCCCAAAGAGCAAATGTTTGTTATTTAGTATGTTAAACTCACTTTTAAACATTTCATATAAAATAATGTCAAATTTTCATTTCATTGTTAACATAGATTTGCAAGTTTGATGTTTTAAACTAATAATTTTTTTTGGAGAGAAATTAGGATTAAGAATATATTTACTGCTTTAAAATTAAAAATAAAAGACTAATCATTGTTTATGAAATTTTAAAAAAAGGAAGAAAATTGAACAAAAAGCTAAAACAATTCATAATAAGGAACTGCAAGATTGCAAACATGTTAAATATTCTTACCACTTCTCCTTTCCTTCCTGGAAATCCAGGAAACCCATTCAATCCCTGCAAACCATCTCTTCCTTGTGCTCCAGGAGCACCCTCAAATCCGGGATCCCCTCGTTCTCCTTTTGGTCCTCTAACAGCTCCAGGAAATATAAGTTCTCCAGGATCACCAGGGTAACCAGGACGACCTTGACTACCATCTGAGCCAGGTATACCCTAAAACACAATTTACAAAATGTGAGAGATGAGTTTTATTCAATAGCACAATTTCCAAAATAAGAGATGTGAGTGGTGAAATTAATTCCAATGGCAATACTTCCAGTCATAAAAAAAACCTTGCAATAAATTTTTGTTGATAAAAATGTTTTTTTAAATTATCTTGGCACTTCTTTTATTTCATATTTACATCATCTTTCTAAAAAGATTTTATCTGAAAAATAATTGTAAGAATAAATTGTGATTCATTCAAAAAGTGTCTGAACTCGTTTTTAATAGAGCTAACCAATTTTTTTTAACTTAAATATTCATAATTGATGTAAAATCTTAAAAGAAAAACCTGAAAAGAAATCTTGCAATACAAATTCGAATACACCTCATACAATCTAAAAGTTAACATTTCTCAAATTTAAAAAATTAAAATAATAATTAAAAATCTAAAATATTTTTACAATATCAAAATTAAGGTCATAATTTTTTTTCTTTACACCTATGTGACATATTTAGAACTTACTGCAAATCCTTTAGGGCCAGGAATACCAGGTAAACCACCCTCTCCTTTTCTTCCGGCTAATCCAATAAATCCAGGGTATCCAGGAGGTCCTGGTGGACCTACAAAAAATTAAATGAGTTTCAATTTCAAATTGATACACATATTTTTCCTTATTCTACTTTCATTTTATTCTCTTCCTCAAAGATTCCCAACCCTTTGACACAGCTCACAAATTGACAGAGAGCATTGTAGTATTGGGGCACTGGTTGAAAGTCTAGGGCAAGATAATTCACCATACATACATAAGTGTTGTCTATTTGTCATTATATTTTTTACTTATATATTCAAAAGTTAACAGGCTGCATTTTTTTTCTTTTACAAAACTAGTGGTCAGCACAACTAAAAAGGTTAGAAACCACTGCTCTACCTTATTTCAAAAATGTGCCAGTCAAGCTGTAAAGGTATAACTAAAAGTAATAAAGTAAAAAGCTACTTTTTATTTTCTCAGTAATGTAAAATTTATTAGATAACATAAGCTGATTAGAAAATATCTAACAAACTTAACTCTCACAATTTCAGGAATTTCAAAATATTGACAAAGTTACTTCCTTTCTTAATTTGCATTTAAAAGTGCTTTGTAAGTTGAAAATAACTGATTTGCTATTAAGAGTGTAAAAACTTTCAAATTTGAAACCAAGCACTCTCAAATTCTACATTTTCACACACCTTATTTAAAGGTTTTGATAGTTATCGACATTATTAAAGTTAATACTTTATAGATTATAATTATAGTATTAAAAGATAAAATAACTAGCATTAAACACATCTGCATTGCATAATTTGTTTTTTATTTTCGTCTTAGATATTAAATTTTCTGGTAAAATGTGATTGTTTTTACAAGAAAATATTCCTGACAGAAATCTAGATTCTTCTCCGATATAGACCGACATCCATGTACAAAGCAACATTGGCCATGATCATTTGTATTGTTATTTTTCTCAGCATTAAGTTTCAGATAATTATTTCAATAATTTTTAGTTATTAATTTTTTCTGAAAACTGTGCAGTCCAGCATTGATGATTAATAAGACATGAAAACTTTACAAAAATCCAACTTATTTCTTAATAATTTTAAAAACAGTCAGCATCTTATTTTGTTAAAATAATATTTGATATATATATAAAAAAAAANAAGTTCTAAGCTGTTCACTATAAGCGTTAAAAATAACATTATTTAAATAGGAATACGGACGGGACCGCTAAAAAAGTTCACTATATCCCAGGTTCACTATAGCGGGGTTCGACTGTATAAAAAAAAATAAATAAAATATTGAAACATAATTTTCAAAAAATAATATTCTACTCTATGAAAACATACAAGATCAATCAAAGCAATTTCTCGAAAAATTAAACAACAAAAAACATTCCCAAAACTCTTTGAATAACTCAATTATAAATCATAGAGTCATTAAGCATGATAAATCTAAACATAAGTGTTATATTCCTTATTAAACAAATTGTTTAATAAGGAATATATACTTTTTCAAAATGATTTGGTAACTTATTTATTAAAGGTATAGTTAAAATAATTTTCTTAAAAAAACCTAATATTTAACAATAAATTTTTTTTCTTCTTTTAATCAGAAATCTTAAGAAGAAAATTACTAGGACTTTCACCTTAGCATTATTTTACACAGATTCTGCACACCGAAAAACATAAATAATTTGAAAATTGGATTCAATAGCGTTATTTGGTATTCTTTAAATGCATTGTTAAGAGTAGCAGTATGATAGATAGGGAGATATTGTCAATTTATTTTGTATCTAACAACTGCAAATGGATTGTTAAAAAGATGCTTCATAACCTTTTTCTTCATTTAACAATACTTAATTGAATTATTATATTCTATGTTTAGTTGAGAAATAATGGGAATGCTTTTTTAGTGTACTATTTAAGTTACATTTCTATTATTACAATGTAAGTCTTTTTTTAACAGTTAAAATTGGATTGCGTTTTTAAAAAAATTTACAAGTTAAAAACAAAGCAATACTATCTTAAATTTTGAAAAAATTAGAAAATATTTATAATGAAAATAATTAAAAATCCTATGATCAAATTCTTTTGATAATTTTTTAATTAACAATAATATCATTAGTACCAAGCCTATTTATTATCTACACAATTAAAACTTATTTTTGACTGCCAATTTTAAAAAAAAAATTTACAACTCAATAGCAAAGTCTGAGAAATCTTTTTAAAGTTAGACCTATATAGAAAATACTTAGCTCAAAACATTAATAGTTCTACAGTGCAGAAGTTTTTAATAAATGTTTTAAGTGTAAGACAACTTTTCTTTAACAATCTTTGCATTTGATTAGTAAAATCGTCCAAAAATGACAGTGTAGAATAAATTGTAAGCTAGGATTTTAAGGTTTCACAAAAATAGAAAATATTTATCTGAAAAAAATTAAAAGTTTCCTGGTGTAAATTTTTTATACCTGGTCTTCCTTCATCTCCTGGTGCACCCTTAAATCCTGGTAATCCAGGAGGACAAAAGCCACAGTCATCTCCTGTAGGACCAATGGGACCTGTTCTCCCATCTTCTCCAGGAATTCCTGGTTCTCCAGGTTCCCCAGGAAGGCCAGATAAACCCGGTAAACCAGGTGGTCCCTGTTTCGTCACACCATAACCAGGATAACCTTTTTCTCCTAAAATATTTAAAATTTAAAAAAATGAAAAATATTTTAATGTTGGGAAATTTATACAACAAAAATTGAAAATTGTTTATTTTGGAAAGGCATACATTACCCTTTAAAGTTGTGACTATTATTTTTGTAACACCCTGTATTTTGAAGAAAAAAAAATCTAACAGCAGATTGTTGATTATTGTCACAGCATATCTAAGCATAAAGTTCATATCGAAATTTATTCATGTGGTATATAATAGTCTTGACATATTACCAAACTAACAGTAATTTAATGCCTGCGACCTCTAAGTTGTTCGTTTTAAAGGTAATTAAAATACTGTTAGACTCTTCTAGTTTTTGAAGGATAGTGTTATATTGAAAAGTGGACAATAGTTCTTGTATTAGTTTTTGAGGGATTGAGTTACAATGAAAATTGGACAATATTCACTCTTTCATTCAAGAAAAAAAAAGTAATAAAATAATAAAAGAGCCTGGGAAATATAATGGTAGGTCATATTTTCAAATTGTAAAAAAGTGTGTTCTTTAAGAAAAGTACTATGATTTTTATGGTTTATGTGACTGCCATGTAGCAGTTACTATCTTTATGATTTTAATTACATGTTACTGCATATTGTATTGCTATATATAGAAAATTCAGAAAACTTGCAAAGTACCTAACTAGAAGTAATACTTAGGAACTGTTTAAAGTAAAAAATTTCATACTAGGGAAGAGTGTGACTTATCACACTAAGTCTACTATGTAAGTCATATTTTATACTAGTAAAATTACTAGTAAAAATATCTAATTTTTAACTAGTACTTTTATTAAATTAAGAACTGAAAGTCCAAAACCCAGAACCATTAAGGATGGAGTGCTGTTTTGAGCCAGACTTGAATTCTCAAAAAGGCGTTAAGTACTGAGCAGTAATAGTATTTTTATTCTTTTTAAAATTTGTGTTTATAAAATTCGTATTTAGCTTACACTGAAAGAAACTAGATTCATTTTTGAATTGATACAAAGTGTTTAGTTCATTTTAGTTTTTAAAAATTAAGTTTCACTTTACTAAAAATAATTGTAAACTAGGAAAAATCAAACAATATATATTTTTTTCTTTTTAGTTTCATACAGAAAGACTTTAAAAATATCTATTTATCTATTTGCAGGTTAGACATTTTTTGTTAAAAAAAAGTTTAATAGATTTTTTTATAAAGAAATGGAATCAAGTTGCTTTTGTTTCCAAATTTCTCAACAAATTACAATCCTAAATAAATTTATTTTTCATAGCACAAAACTGTGATGGCATATTAAGATTGAAAAAAAAAAAATTTTTTTTTTTTTTGGTTTTTAAGGATTTATCTCTATTTTTCTGCTTTTAGTATGAAAATTAATTTTAAATTCATTTACCAGGTGGGCCAGGATCACCCCTTGCTCCAGGTAAGCCATGCACACCATCCTTCCCAGGCCGACCATCTAAACCAGAAGGGCCAATGACTGAAATTCCTGGAACGCCTTTTGCTCCACTAGGACCCTGTAGGCCAGGATATCCAGGTCGACCTCTTGATCCAGGTATACCAGGAAAACCTTATTAAAAAAATAACATAGTTTGTACACTTTTAATTTTTATCTTCTAAAAATAGAAAATATGGACATTAAAATATATTTTAAAGTAGCAATTTAAATTTTTGACTCATGCATAATTATTTCTTTTTTATTATTTCACTCACTAATTTCACATAATTAACTCAGATCTGCAATATGAATGTGTCAAAATGTCAATTAATTTTATTTTAAATATTACTTAACAACACAATTATCAAATGTTAGACAGCCAACTTAAAAGATTATAAAATTTATAAATTGAGCAGTAAAAAGGATGGGAAAAAACTGTTTGATTTCTAATCAATCCATAATCATTATCAAATCTTATGAAAGAAAAGAGGTAATTTATAAACTAATATGTTTTTATAATTAATTGAGTAGAATGATTAAATGTTAACAAAAAATTACCATGTTTTTTTATGTCAATTTTGCTAACTTATAAGCAGTTAAATTAAGTTCTAATCTAAGAAATTACTTTAATTAACACATTAATGATATGGTCAAAACATTTAATTCAAATAAATCTTGATAAATTATTTTTTACTACACACCTACGAAAACTAATTTTCCTTACTAATAATTACAAAATAAGCTAGAAAGTGACTGACAAAACAAAAACTAAAAATATAATAAAATGAGGCTGTAATTTAATAATTAATATATATATAATGTTCAAAATGTAATGCATACCATCTTCTCCTGGCTCTCCTTTAAAACTCAAACCAATAGTACCCGGTTCCCCAGGATCACCTTGAGGTCCAGGTTCACCAGGACCTCCAGCATAACCAACTGGTCCTCTCAATCCAGGTTTACCTAAAAAATCAATTAACTTATTTTTCCAATGAAATAATTAAGCTTCATATGCAAAATTGTTGTTCTCAAACTTTATGTGTAAGAAGGCAGTTAAAAATTAAATTCAGTCCTAAAAGAAATGTAAAAAACTGAAATATACATACATATACATATTCTTTTGAGCAACAGTTTTATTACATCCACCCATTTAATGTCTCATTAGGCCAACTTTTTACTCTTGTTATACACCTCCTTTACGAGACATTGATATGCCGCTTGTGGCATTTCAGATTAAGCTTGAATAGTACTTTCCAATAGAGTGAGACTGGATGAGTTAAGATCTAAATGTCAGAGGGCTTTTTCAACTCCCCCCCCACCCCACAAATTTTCCACAGTATTGAGATACGGGAACTGCGGGTGCATTAAAACAAAATATAGTCTCAATCATGTTACTCAAACCGATCTTTAAAATACCAGCAGTACAGTAGAAGGCATTATCCTGCTTAAAGCATCTCTCACCAGTGGACTATACTACAGAATGTACTTAGGCAGCAATGGTGATCAGGTATAATATCTTATTTAAACTACAATGTATGCAAAATAAAGGTCCTAAAGTATTCTTGCACTACACTGGTTTTCAAGTGACAACACTACGATACAGTAGATAGTTAGCATAAAATTGTGATAGATACAAATGCTTTTACATTTATACAGATGTTTGCAGAAGATTATTAGTTTTCATGGTAAATTCATTTAGTTTTGTTCGGAATTTTTCTTTGGTTTGAAGGGAATGGTGCAATCTGTACTTTAAAAAAACATTTCACAATATTCTAAAAAATATGCCCATAATGACAATTCAATTTATTAGAGTTCAAAGTCTTCAATTATATTTATTTAGTGCATACCATCTTCAATCCAATAATTTAAAATGATGGTTGCTAGTATACTTTCAAAGAAGGTACGTTGTGCATTTGGTTGCTAGAGTTAATGCATTTTCCACTTATTATAATGCATTCCATATTTTATATTCGAATTTTCGTAAGCAACATCAAAGCTCATGCTAAGTTTATGTGCTTTCAGTAATTTATAAATCATTTGTTTAAATATATATAATAAAAGCAAATCCACTTTAAATTGTATAATTCATTGATTAATAGTTAAAAATTTGTTGGATGTATAGACATAGAAATTTGCACTAATTTTGCAAAGAAACATGTACATTATCATGCTCTTGTAAAATGTCATGGGTATGATATTTTACAGCATTAATAAATTTTGTATTTTCTTTGAGTCATTCGGTTTCCCAAATTCAGAAAATTTCCAACTGCTCGGCTGTTACAAGTCTGGTAAGAATATTGTCTTACTTTACATCTTCCAAAATTTACAACCATTGAAAATTGCAGACTTAATAATTCAAGGAAAGTGTAACATTAAAAGTAAATGAATCACGAATTTCATTTTGCATAAAAAATTAACATTTAATGAAATTTCTAAAATTACCTGAAACCCCTGGTGAGCCTCTATCACCAGGAACACCTTGCTTTCCTCGCGGGCCAGGGATAACCTCACCAGTGTCAATTATTATCCCTGGTGGTCCCTACACAAATGAAATAATTTAATTATGATTTGTTCAAACACACAATTTGCACATAAAATAACCATTCTTTTCATTAAAAAAAACTGATGGAAAAGAAAAAAGTAAATGAGCAAACAATTTATTAGTAAACATACTTACAGGTGGACCTTGAGAACCAGGAAATCCTGAAATACCATGTTCTCCTTTTGGACCCTATAAAATACAAAGCAATCTTTGATTTAATCAAAAAAATGTAGCAAGTAAATGCTTAACTACTTTATTTATTCATATACATAAAAATTATTTTTAGTTATACATTTGAAACATAAAAAAATAAATTTTAAAAAAAAATTTAAGGAGCACTTACATTTGAAAAATCTTAAAAGAAAAAGACGCTAATAATTTTAAGAAACAATTTCACAAGAAAGAGACATCCAAACCTGTAAAACAACCTAACAATTGACTTGAAATAATGAAGTGTCGTTATTATTTACAGGGATCTGCCTAGGTTTTTCTGAGAGGTACCTATTTTGTGAAAATGTAGACATAATTTGTGAAAATTAAAAATTATATTAAAAAATCAACACAAAAATAAGGATTTATAATTTCTTACAGAATAAAAAAAATTAAATTTTAAGAAAAAGTATTTTGTGAAAGTACCGTTTTTCCTAAAGTTGAATTTTGAAGGTACCGCTAAACGGTAGTAAATTATCCCTGGGCAGACCCCTGATTTATTAATGTTATTAATAATACAAAAAGTAATAAGCATTGCTACAATAATTTTGAAACAAAAAAACTGAAAATAACTTAAATGAAATATCCCTCTGCAGTAATTGTTATAGGTTTTATTTCATTTTTTTTTTCATTCAATATTTCATTTTTTTAAAAGCTTGATATAAAACAGGTTCAAGAACTGTTACCTTATAGCCTTCTCTCCCATCAATTCCAAAATCTCCAGGTTCTCCTTTTTGTCCTTTTTCTCCTGATGCACCAGGAAAACCAGCTTTGCCTCTTTTGCCCTGTTTTTTTTTTTAATTAATTAAAAATTTATTTAATCTATATATTTGGTCTTCAAACAATTTCAATACGCAATAGAATTCAATCTAATCAAAAAATAAATTTTAAATATACCTATTAACATTTAGAAAGAAAAAGAAGGGTAAAATTCTCTAACATAAATTGCAAGAAAAGTAACTACATTGAACAATTTAATTTCAAGAAATGATTTAGAATTGTTATTTTATTTAATATATTAATTTAGAAAACTATATTTATTTAAAATAATACATTTAAAAGTAAACGAAGAGTGAGAATCAGATGGTACATATTATAATGAAAATGTCTAAACACATTAAAAAAAATTTCGAGAGAAGGTAGAGCATTTCTTAAAAATAAAATGCGAATGAATGTAATTTTTTTTAGAAACTCAAAAACATTTGAAAAATAATCATTGACTTTTATCAATTTTTAAAAAAATTATAAAATGAAAAAAAAGTGTTTTGACAAACTTGAGCACATAGACATAAAATCAAAGATAAAACTGTATAAAACTTAAGCTCAAAAAATTTAATGTTTACATTAATAAAATTTAAGGAAAAAATAAGTATTTTGATTTTATCCAGTTTCAAATTTATCGATTTCAAATATAATTCATAAAAATTTTTACTAACTTTTATATCAAGCATAAATTTTTAATTAATTTAATTCCAGTTGCATAAACATTTTCTAAATTCAAACATTTTACAACTTTAAAAATGAAACTTTTTTATTAAATTATACTAAGAAAAAAATTAGTTTAACTTAAAATACTTACCAAAGGACCATCATCACCTCGCAAACCTTTTTCTCCCTTAGGTCCAGCAAAGCCTTTCTGGCCCTAAAATCAAATAAGTAAACAAAATTATTTTAATGATATTGCAAAATCTAAAGATAATCATAAGAAATAAATTAACATAAATTATCAAAAACATAACACTAAGTCAACAATTACATTTTTTAAGATAAATTACTAATGCAAAGAAATGATTAATGCAAAAATAATCGAATTACATAACATTAAAAAGCTATAAAACACATACATATATTTATAGTAACTAGAAATTTATAATAACTGTAAACCTAACTAAAGGACTTTGTGGACCAATTTTATACTTTGCATTTGCCTCAGTAGTTCATTAATTTTAGTCAAAGATATTGCAGAATTAATTTTCTTTTCAGTCTAGTGGTCCTGGAGTTAATCCAAAGTTGCATTTTTCACTAACAAATCTGCATAAAAAAATCATTATCGTACATGGAACAGAATTCAAGGAGAAAAAAAGAGGGTGCTGGTAAGGGCGAAATAAATGTTTTGATAACAAGAATTTCTGAGAGTAACAAAATTTAAATTTTAGATTAGCAGAACTCCGAAAAAATTTGTCCAAATACAATTTATTGATTTGCGGAAGTTCCTAAATCAACAGTCTTGTGATTGTCGGAATTCTGTGAATTAGCGGAAGAATCACATGATTGTACTGCCGTACAATAGAAAAATCAAAGTAAGCGACGAAGAATTCCAAATTGAGATTTTTATATATTAGGCATCTTTATAAGACAAGCTACAAATTTCAAAAAAAACTTTCATAAATAAATTTAATTTATCAGTTTTTTGACATTCTATTTCAGCATTCATAACATTAGCAATAGAAAAAAAGTTGTCAAGCCACTTTTCTCGAAAATCAATCGTGAAGTGCTTATGTTTTTTCAATTGCACAGCAGTGAATTAATAACTATAAAATTGATAGATGATATAAACAGCAATATACAGAGTAATAATCTAGATTAAGCAGGCTGTAAAACAATTCAAACAATTTTTAAATCAACAAAATGTTTAAAAAAAAAGGAAAAATTATTATTATATAACTATTTAACTATTACTATACATATTTATAAATTTCTTTTTTTTATTCAATCTTCTTAAAAATTAATAATCTTCTAAAATGATTAAACAGACATAAATTTTAATTATAAAACAAAGTGAAACGCAATCCAACATATTTCCAATTTAAGCATTATGAAAATCCACAAAAGAAAAATATAAATCATATCAAGGAAACTGTAAAAAAACATTTTAGAGAATACTTAACTAAACTTTTCTAACATTAAATAAAACTAGAAAAAAAATCGATTGGTAGTATTATCTGTCTTAAATGCAATGATATAACTTACATCAAATCCAATACGACCATCAAATCCCCGATGACCATGTTCACCTTTTTCACCCTAAGAAGTTAAAAACAATTAGGGCAAAAATAAAGAAAAGAAATCTAGATTTTAGTGACAGAAAAATTAATAATTTAATGACAATATAAAAATACAATAACAAATCATTGTATTAAATATCAAATAATTTTAAATTATAAAGTATGTTTAAAATGAGATTGTAGCCATGAAACATTATAAACAATTTAATAAAATAAGCAACTATTTGTTTCTAAGTATTTTATAGTTCATATTTCACTAAACTATTTATTTTTAGAAGTAAAAATTATAATTTACATCTATATTATGATATGTACTTCATATTTTAACACTGGAAAATGTACTTATGTTGCATGTTATAAATTTTTAAAATATGAAGTGAAATGTTTTCTATGCATAAGCATGCATTATAACCTAGTGACTCTGTTTGTACTGTTGACAGTAGATATGCTTGGGAATGCTTTTGATATTGAGGAGAAAACTGAAAACTAATTTTAATTTTTGAAATTATTGAGAAAAAAAACTGTTTCTCTATAATCGTTTAAGTTGAGTTGAGTAAACTAAATTTTCTTTTTCTTACTTGCTAAGTACTATAACCATAAGAACAGACGTCATCACATAAGTTATATACACATAAAAAAACAGTAATGGCTTTTTTCCAATGTTTTATATAAAACAGTTAAAAATTCCTCATTTGAGGCTAAAATTTTAGAAATTTAACCAATAAACTGAATATTTTTCATATAATTAAGCAAAGAATGCATTCCTTATTTGCATATTAACCACTGATTCCACTTACATACTATAGCGCATCAAATATGCTTAAAATCATACACAGAATGCAAAAATAAAGTTATAACTAGTCTCCTAGGACACTTAATTTTACACAGCAAAAATTGGGGATGGGTTTCAGTTTGATCAAATATAACCAAAGTTCGTTTAAAAAAAAAAACTTTTTTATGAACATCAGAAGGGAAAAATCATACAAATAAAAGCCTTAATTTTTAATACAGATAAACTAGTATAAAATTAAAAGCCTTGAATTCTTCAAATACAATTTTTTTTTCTTCCTTTTTTTTTAGCGTATCAATAAATGCAATGCCTATAAATGCACACATTACTTAGATGAATAAAGACGTAGAAAATTTATCGTCGGCTAAAAATCATAGATAATTTGCATATTTTTATTTTTTAAATCTTGAAAGGCCTTCCCTCTTTAGCTAAATTTTAATCTTTAAAGCATCGTTTTAAACATTTTACATAAAATTTTGCAATTTATAAAGATTTTGAGTTTTTACTCAAAATAACATCATTAAAAAGTAAATACATTAAATATTTTCTTTTTATGTGTATCTTTAAAATAGAGATTTATACTACTTTTCATTGAGACCCGGTTCAGGTAAAAAAAAAAAATAGAAATTTGAAAGTAGAAAATCCTAGAAACTCAAAGTTTTCAAAATGTAGCGTAATCACTTTTAACTCATTAAAACAAAAAAAAAGGTTAATACTAATTGATAATAAATTACCTTTTCACCAGGATGTCCAGTATGACCTGGTAATGGATAAACCACTTCATCTCCAGGTTCAACAGCTTCTAACTCTCCAGGAGGACCAGAAGATCCTGGCATACCTGGTTCACCCTAAAGAAAAAGAAAATAACTAAATAAATAAAAACTCTAAGTCAAAGAAAGAAAATGTTCATCATTAATTGATAAAGCAGGGTTTCGCAGTAAAACTTCTAGGCATGAGATGAGACGAGCTCATTATTTGAAAGAACTATTTGGACTCACAATAAAGTTTTCATTTACTTAAACAGGTATACAGAAATCTGTTTAGTTCAACTATTAAGTCTAAAAAACATAATAATTATAAAAGTATGAAATTAAAAAGTTTAAAAAATTCATAAATAATAAATCTCAATTAGGCATTTTATTTGGATTTTCTTTTTGCAGGTTTTGGTTTCTATCTGTCATACATGATACTGCAACTACAGGAAATATCTCAGCAGAAATCACATTTTGTCAATTGTTGATTAGTCTCACTTTTCTCAGTAAAAATATAGTGTTTCCTCAACAGAGATTTTTAATTAAGGGTATAATTGATTTGATAACACATTGTTTTATAGTTGGTTGATAAATGATAAAAAAATAGCCATTTATTTATGTTCAGATATACGTTTTAGGAGTACAACATTAGTAAAGTTTAGAATCAAAGATTGAGATCAAATTAGCTAAATAAATAGTGCCAGGAAAGTTTAAGGGGATATAAAAATTAAATAAAAATATCTTTGCATCTTTTTATTAAATAAATGTTTGTTTTAAACTGATATTTAATGATTTTAGTACAAAATATTTAATGAAACAGAAAAATATATATCATAAAAATTATCATTAATATTTAACAGGGATAATAGTAGCTTCATAAAGAAATTTTAGCAGGAAAAAAGCGAATGTAAGAGACAATTTTTACTTATTTATTATGATCAATTTTTGCTTTTAGAATATTTTAAGTAATAAGCAAATGAGAAACTCATATATTTCTTTTTAATCTTATTACATGAAATTTTAACACTTACATGTTAAAGTATAAATGCACAAAATTCATCAACATCAGCCATATTATTTTAAAATATTAAAAAACCTACATTTCATAACAATATCACAAGAGATTTCAATTTTTAACACAGATATGGATTATACTTTTGTCAGAAAGAAAGCCTCAGGAAAATTAAATAATACTTCAAAAAACAATAATTTTTAATTATCTATGTGAACATGGAAAATTATTATTACAGACGTGTTTTAAATTATAAGTAGGCTTGTATGGTTTTAATTCATGAATTAGCATTGTCNAAAGAAGATAGAAATTTGAAAGTAGAAAATCCTTGAAATCCAAAGTTTTCAAAATGTAGCGTAATCACTGATAACTCATTAAAACAAAAAAGGTTAATATTAATTGATAATAAATTACCTTTTCACCAGGATGTCCAGTATGACCAGGTAATGGATAAACCACTTCATCTCCAGGTTCAACAGCTTCTAACTCTCCAGGAGGACCAGAAGATCCTGGCATACCTGCTTCACCCTAAAGAAAAAGAAAATAACTAAATAAATAAAAATTCTAAGTCAAAGAAAGAAAATGTTTATCATTAGTTGATAAAGCAGGGTTCCACAGTAAAACTTCTGAGCATGAGATGAGACAAGCTCATTATTTGAAAGACGTATTTGGACTCACATTAAAGTTTTCATTTACTTAAGCGGGTATACAGAAATCTGTTTGGTCAACTGTTCTGTTTGCAACTATTAAGTCTAAAAAACATAAAAATTATAAAAATACAAACTCAAAAAGTTAAAAAAATTCCTAAATAATAAATGTCAATTAGGCATTTTACTTGGATTTTTTTTTGTTTTTTTTTTTTTGCAGTTTTTGGTTTCTATTTGTCATACATGATACAGCAAACACAGAAAATATCTCAGCAGAAATCACAGGTAAAATTGTTGATTAGTCTCACTTTTCTCAGTAAAAATATAGTGTTTTAATTAAGGGTATAATTGACTTGATAACACATTGTTTTATATTTGGTAGATAATTAAAATCAAATATCAAATAATAGCCAATAAATAATAATATCAAATAATAGCCATTTATTTATGTTCAGATATACATTTTAGGAGTACAAAATTAGTAAAGTTTAGAATCAAAGATTGAGATCAAATAAGCTAACTAAATAGTGCCGGGAAAGTTTGAGCAGATATAAAAATTAAATAAAAATATCTTTGCATCTTTTTATTAAATAAATGTTACTTAAACTGATATTTAATGGTTTTAGTACAAAATATTTAATGAAACAGAAAAATATGTATCATAAAAATTATCATTAATATGTAAGAGGGATAATAGTAGCTTCATAAAGAAATATTTGAAATTTTAGCAGGAAAAAAGTGAATGTAGGAGACAATTTTTATTTATTTATTGTGATCAATTTTTGCTTTTAGAATATGTTAAGTAATAAGCAAATGAGAAACTCATATATTTCTTTTTAATCTTATTACATGAAATTTTAACACTTACATGTATAAATGCACAAAATTCATCAACATCAGCCATATTATTTTAAAATATTAAAAAACCTACATTTCATAACAATATCACAAGAGATTTCAATTTTTAACACAGATATGGATTATACTTTTGTCAGAAAGAAAGCCTCAGGAAAATTAAATAATACTTCAAAAAACAATAATTTTTAATTATCTATGTGAACATGGAAAATTATTATTACAGACGTGTTTTAAATTATAAGTAGGCTTGTATGGTTTTAATTCATGAATTAGCATTGTCAATTCTCAAAAATTAATCGCAGGAAAAAGAAACACGATCTCTCATTTTAAAATTGTGTTAAAACAAATCACGATGTTTGATTTCAAATCACAAAAATAAGAATCACTTGGTTCATTTTTAAATCATGTAAATACGAATTGTTATGGTGTTTCTTAAACCAAATTAATATGAATCTCGATATCTGAAAATCGAGTAAATATGAATCTTGATGTATAAATTTAAGGTTACGTGAACACAAATCACAATAGACTTTTAAATCCCAAAAACATGAATCACTTAATTTTATGGGTGATTTTGTAAACCACGTGAATACAGAGATCCCAAGTTAATATTAAATTGAGATGTGTAGTTTGTAAATCAAGTAAATATGAATAGAAAAATACAATTCGAAAACCATGCTAAGTAATGATTTGTTAATCATATGAATATTAATCTCAAATTGAGATGGTGATTCATAAATCTTTTTAATGTAAACCTCAAAGTCTACATCATAAATGTTGTTCATACGAAGTGCAACAAAAGATTCATAATTTAAAAAGATTAAACGTGAATCTGCAGAATTAAATTTTGCTTAAAAGTGATAAAAAATACAGGTTGAAAGTTAAACAGAAAGGACAAAAGCAAAAAACTCTCATATTAATAATAATAAAATTAAAATAATGAATAGTTAAGTATTAGGGTAATAAAGTTAACACAACAGAAAGTTTTAAAACTTGGAGAAGGTGCAAAAGCAAAATGCATACACAAAAATGAAGATTTTTAGCAAAAAATTTCACCAGTGGAAGTCTTTTACAAAAAGAACAAAAATTTTCTAATTAGATCGCAAGGAAAACCCCATTGCCACAGTTAAGAGAAAGCAGAGCTTTCTTAGAAGCATTGCGTAGATTTTCTAGTGTTTATCGAGCTTAATTTTTAAAGTTAGCTTCGATTTCATTAGACATTTAAGCAGTTTGCCTCGAAATGTTGCAAGGAGTATGTATTGGCGCCATTTGTTGCAATTATCACAGCCTAAAAAAGAGAGCCTTAACTAATCTCTATTGCAAGCTACATACTTTTTCTCCTTTCGGTCCTGCAACTCCTTCACCTTCAATTCCTTTTAAACCTCTATCGCCAACTTCACCTTTAATACCCTAAAAAAAGTACTTTTATGAAAAACTTAATTTAAAAAAAAGGCAAGTAATTAAAAAACAATAAATAAAAAATTTTTTACAAAATCAAAAAAAAAAATAATTTTTTAAAAAGTTTTTTTTAATATTAAATAATAATTCTTCTTTAAAACAATTTATCTATTCTATTAACAATTTCCATAAAAAATTTTGTTAAGAAAACTGTTTAAAAATATTTGATGGCTTTTAAATAAGGTTAGAAGAGAATCAGCTTACTGTTACACCAGGATCACCACGTATTCCCTTTTCCCCACTAAATCCTGATAGACCTTGTATACCCTACATGGAAAAAAAAATTATAAAATAATAAAGTACTTATTTTTGTATAAATGAAACAAAATTTTTATTTATCACAATACAGAAAAAAATCTTACAGGAACACCAGGGTAGCCAGCTTCACCAGGTTCTCCCTTCACTCCAATTGAATTTATTCCACCGTCTCCAGGATCACCCTATCAATTAAAAAATTCTTCAATTAATCAATCAAGTCTTTCAATTTAAAAAAAATTAACAAAGCAATTTTTTAAAGCCATTATTAAATTCCTGATATTGATTTATTTGATTTCTAGAAAAAATAAAATGCTTAAATTGAGAAAGGTAAATAATGAATCAAAATTCTTTAGCAGCAACAAAATAAAAAAGTATTTTTTAGTTACCACATAATATAAATAAATTTAAAGACAGCAATTTACCTTTGGACCTTGAAACCCAAGTGAGCCGGGCCTGCCTCTGGTTCCAGGTCGACCGATAAATCCTGGTGGTCCAGGAGCACCCTTTAAAAAATTACAATAAAATTAAATTTTAATTAAATATTTTTCAAACCTATATTAAAAAAAGCACTGAAAAATACAAAACAATGTTAGCAATAATAAATTGTCTCATATAAAGTGTTAGAAATGATAGTGAGCAAGTAATATTGAGAGAAATATAAACAGTGTTCTCCCTAGGCGTTTTTACAAGGGCCTGCTCTTTTATCTCTACAAATGAGCCCTTTTTGCTCATTTAGTAAAAATAAGTTGCAATCCCCTTAAAACACTGCCTTTTTATTCACAATTCAGTTTTAAAAAAAAAAACAGTATTACCCTTTTTAAATAATAATTATGCACTGGTAAAATTATCTGTGTTTATTGGTTTAATTATGATTACTATTACAAATATTTACTTTGTTTGGATTATTCTCATCTTTTTTTTGAAGAAAAAAAAATGCACATTTAAATGTTTATTTTCTAATAATTTCCAGTTTAAATTATAAAAAAAACTTTCAAGTTAATTAGCAATTAATCATTTTTTTAAGTTAAATTTTTTTTTTTTCCTTTTTGAAAAACATTTATGAACAGAGATTGTCTTTGGACATGCCTTTAATTAGTTTTCTACAAATTATAATAATTTTATCTTTACTAATTATAGTAGACATAATTAACATTATAATAGACATAATTTTATCCTAAGATAAAAAATTTCAGAAAAAATGAAACTTTGTAAAAAAGGTTGAAAAATGGTTTGTGCTTCAAGTAATAAATACAAGTTAAACAAAGAAGATTAATGAATTTTCCTTCTTCAAAAGTTTATAATATATAACTATTATCATAAAAGGAAACCAGTGGTTTTAAAATAACAAGAGTATCAACTTACATCAGTTCCATTGCAGCCAGGAAAACCTTGCTCCCCAGGGGGACCATCACTCCCTGGAAGGCCCTGAAGCAATTTATTAAAATTAATTAAAAATTTATTTCAATGTTGTTTCATAAGAAAAAACATTTAAGATAAAATAAGTAAATTAGTTTAATACATACAGGAATACCAGGTGTACCTTCGAATCCTGGAACACCAGTATCACCCTAAAATTGAAAGGAAAAAAAAAACTCAAACATACATTTATATACATATTTTTTTTTTTAAAATCAGAAACAATAATTGTAAATAATAAATACATATTTTTAGCAGAATGAAGAGAAAAAAGGTAAAAAAAATCTGAACCAGAGTAAAAGCTTCATCCCCTTACATGCATTGCCCAAGCAGTATTCATGCATTTCAAATGCATGAAGAGAATTTAAACAACACAATAGTAAATGAGGGTTATGGTTAGTACAGTCAAACTAATGTGGGCACATGTCAAAAGAACCACTTTGTGCAGAGCGGGATAGTAGGTGGCCAACTGAGCAAAGTTGCATGGATGAGAATCCAATCCTATCAAGATAGTCCCACAAATTATCAATTGGGTTTAAACCAGGGGAGTTTGGTGGCCAATGGTATATAGTAAACTCACCCTGGTGCTCTTCAAACCATGAACGTGCACTGCAAATTATATGGCATATCGCATTATTTTGCTAGTAGATGCCATCATCCAGAAGAAAAACAGCTTGCGTGTAAGGCATGGACATAATGGTGTATTGTGCTCTCCACAATGATGAATGCACACAGAGAATACCACGAAAACCCTCTGCAGACCGTAATGCTCGCTTTCAGACGTTTAATGCCGTATATGCCAATATCCATCAGTCGGATGTAACATAAAACAAATTACAGCAGAAAAAGCCATCTGCCAACACTCGGGACATCCAGTTGCAGTACAGGCGTGTAAATTCCAGCCTTTGCCGCCAATGAACAGCAGTCAGTACAGTGCATTAACCAGGTGTCTCTGGCCCATTGTAACATTCCCTGAACTGCTGTTCTGGAGACACTGTCGGGAGCCGCTGGGTTCATCTGGAAACTAAGCTGCTCAACAATTGCACGCTTATTCACCCTCTTTAACCTCTATCATCTATGACCTGTGGTGCATTTGCCAGGTTACTGATTTTAGATAGGGCCATTTTGCCATACACTGTATACTTCTTTTTAACATAGCGGCATGCAAACAGTTTGAAAAATTGGCTGTTTTGGAAATGCCATCACTCTTGGCTCAAAAGTCAACCATCATGCCCATTTGAACGTCAGACCGGTTCTGCATTACGCCATTAATTACAAAGTTTTCTGATTCCCTCGGACACCTTTTATATACGTTCCACTTAAATGTGCTGCCACTTGCCTTCTGTAATTAGTTAACTCTTGTTGAAGTCGAAAGTAGGTGGGGATAACATTAATATGACTGGACTGTGTATAGACTCAAAACAAGGCATAGTAACAATTTATCTACTTTAAACTTTTAGACTGTATAGGTTTTAACACAATTATTTTGTAATGTCAAAATTAAAAAATTACTATGAAATCCATTAAAACTTACTCTAATTCCTCTTGGCCCAATTGCACCAGCATCTCCAAAATCTCCTTTTAAACCTCGAGGACCAATAGGTCCTTCAGGACCAATTTCCCCAGGATGACCCGCTGATCCTTGTAAACCAGTTAGACCTTGAAGACCCTAAAAAGATATGTAAAAAAATATAGTCATAAGCATCAATAGTACTCCTGAAAATTACAAAACAGTTGAAATGAATTAAGAAAAACAAAAGCCTAAATTTTTAAAACCAATTTGATATATATATCAAATGTCCCAAG